CAAAAAGCATGGGACTAATGACTACCACCTGGTGCAGGATCTACTGCTGTTAATGAGGCTGTTATAACCCTGAATTCAGCACTGCCAAATCCCTTCTAAGACTCATCCCACCAGAGGCAGAATGGTTTATATGCCTAGATTTGAAAGATGCCTTTTTCTGCTTTGATTAGCAACTTCCAGTCAGCCTCTCTTTGCTTTCGAATGGGAAAACCCAACTACAGGAGCCAAGGAGCAGTTCACCTGGACTAGACTGCCACAAGGGTTCAAGAACTCCTCTACTCCTTAGTGGAGCACTAGCATATCTGACCTGTCTAAGTTCTCAGGACAGGACTTGGGATGTGCTCAGAACAATGCCAAACAGGGTCCTGTGGGACCAATAGGAGTTTAATGCTGTGGGCAAGTTCCTATTGAGAAATTAGAAGTAGATTTTACAGAAATAGGGCCTAGCAAAGGGAATAAATACCTGCTACTCTTTGTTTGCACTTTTTCAGGTTGGGTTAAGGCATATCCCACTCGCACTGAAAAGGCGAGAGAAGTCACTAAGGCATTGCTTAAGGATATAATTTCATGGTATGGAATGCCTCTGACCATAGGATGAGATAATGGCCCAGCCTTTGTAGCAGAAATAGTACAACAGGTAGCCAAGGCTTTAGGAATTAAATGGAATCCACATACAGCTTACAGGCCTCAAGAGTTCAGGGAAAGTGGAGCGCATGAGCCAGACTCTAAAGCAGGCTATGGCTAAGCTATGCCAAGAGACAACCTTATCCTGGACAAATATCTTGCCTTTTGTACTCCTGTGGGTACACTATGCCCCAAGGACCAGGGTAGGTTTCTCTCCCTTTGAAATTCTACACAGTAGACCCTCTCCCTTAATTCAGCCAAAGGAAGATTTGAGAAAAATAGGAAACTTAAAAATCCAGAAACAACTACAAGGACTTGGAAAAATTGTCTTTGAGGTCCACAGTTGGGTTACTGACCAACTACCCATCTCTCTAGGAACAGCTGTACATCCTTATAAACCTGGAGATCAGGTTTGAGTAAAGGATTGGAAAAAGGAGCCCCTCAAGCCTACCTGGAAGGGACCCTATCCAGTTATATTAACCACCCCTACAGCCCTTAAGGTTGCAAGACTAAACACTTGGATCCACCACTCCTGGGTAAAGCAGCCCACCTGCTAAGTGACATTTAGTCTGAGTGGAAGATGACCTCTGACCAAAAACACCCCCTGTGGATCACCCTCAAGAAGACAGTAGACCTGGCCGAGCAACCTGTTCCAAGGAATTCAGAAAACACCTTGGTGAATTCTCCCTAACACTAATCTTTCTTATCTCCTCCTAACGTAACATGCTCTAGTATTTCTAGATAATCACTGTTTTTATCTAATAATTCTTATTTTGTCTTTTTATGAGTGCCATTAGAATCTGAGACTAGTACCAGGAGAACTCATCTGCTCTTGGTTGGACACAGAAGCACCATAAAATTACCTCTCCCCACACAGCAAGGAAACAAAGGCCTTATCATAAGTTGTTGGATTACACCTTGTCATGCCATCCTTTGCTCCTTGCTTAGAAACCTGCCACCCAAATATGCTAGACCAGGTAGTCCATGAGAAAACACAATTGTTATAGTTATATTAGTGTGATGTTAGATTTATATTTTAAGGATTTAAAACAGTGTGAGAATAATTATTTGTGTGATTTAAAATAGGAATGAAAGCATTTACTTTTATGAGTGATTTACAGTTTAAGTATGAATTATATTTCTGATCTTATTCTGATTTTAAGTAAAAGAAATTATTTGAAATGTGTTTTAGGCTTATATAAGTAACTCCATTTAGTGTGATTTGAATCCATTTTGTAAAACTTGAGTTTTAAGACTGACTTTGAGCCCCGAACTGTGTGAATGCCCTAATGTGTTTATCTGGAAAGTTTTAACTGTGTGGACGCCCTAACAAGTGTTTATCTGGAAAGTTGGAAACTAAGGCAAAAAGTACCTGGAGAGTGCCCGATTAGACACACTTTAGACCCATTGGTTGCACCCAGAAGGAACAAAGAAACACCCAGAAATGGCCATAAAAGAAGAGACCTAGAGGCACTGTTCAGAGACCATGAAGTGGCCCTCCACCCAACGTGTTCTTCCCACTCTTCTCCCTGTTCAAAATACTGCATGAGACTCTGCCGGAGCGAAGCTGTCACTCTGCCTTTGAGCCAAAACTCTGAGGCCTCGATCCTGACTGAGACGCTGCAGCAACATGTCACTGTCCAGTGTGTGTCTGTCGGCGCGGATCTCCAGGTGACCTGCCTAGGCTTCTGAAAACCACCAGGACACTGGTAAATAAACCTTGGGATTCATACATTCTAACTCTTGTTTCTGTGTTTAGTTTATGCTTGGTCAATTTTAATTAAGTACTGTGGGCAACCCGTATAAGTCCAGTTCTCTGGTTGAGGGACCCCAGTCACCTGTGCATACATTACCACCTGAGGGTGAGTTGGAACAATCAAGCCAGATTTTTGTTAGCTATACTTATCAGTCTACCGCATGTTACAACTCTACTACCAAATGCATGTGGGGTGGGGAATTGTATTGGATGGAAAAAAAAATAATAGGACCTGTGATGGATAATGTGCAGCTAACTAATGTTGCTCCTATTTGTTTCAGCACTACTTGTTTCAGCTCCTATTTGTTTCAGCCAACACCCAGATGAATTATGCAACTCTGCCCCCAAGGCTGAAAACCCCACATACCCCTGATGCCCCCTGCAGGAATATTCTATGCATGTGGGACCACTGCTGACTTCTGCCTGCCTGAAAACTGGACACAAATGCCTTTAAACTTCAGATGGTCCTAAAAATCAGGAGAACTCCCTACAAACCCCTTTGAGAGGAAGAAGTGGAATGCTAACCCCTTAGTCATTGACCCTTTCTCGCAGGAAGTAGGTCGTCATCCCTGTTCACCATAATAGCCCCTGGTCCTTGCTCCACAAGGCTAAAAAAAGCTTGTAGGGCAAGGGGGGGAAGGAGGGAGGAGATGAGGAGGAAGCTGGTCTTGCAGGCCATACAAACTTTGAACAATGCACAAAGGAGGAGGGCTCATTATCGCTGGCCCCAGGACAGATTATTGGATATGGCCTAGGGAGCCTCAACACCTGGGGGCCTTGCTATAAGTCCACAAAAGGGAGTGGAACCATATCTGCAAGACAAAGACCACAGAAGGCTATAAACAGTACAGTGAAGCCCTCTGCATGTTTCTTCACTCTGATTTGGAAATTAATTCCGGAGTCCACTAGTGTTAATAAACGGGGTCCCTCCTTTTCTCTAGGAAGTGTGCTTGGTATTTCTTTGGTCTTCTGCAACAGTTTCACTGTCCTAAGTGTATTTTTGCTGCTATCATGGAACCAATACCTGTTTGACTCAGTACTACGTAGCCTTTCCCTTTGGATATTCCCATCCTGCATCACTTTTTCCTTAAGTAAATTCAAATTTTTCTTTATTCACCATTTGAGGTAGCTATTTAGCCTGCGCAGGTATCAACGACTTAAATCTTTCAGCTAGGATTAGCTAGAAAAAAATGGGGTCAAAGATATAGTAAGTCATATCCCTCCACCATGTGAGAATGTAGCAAGAAGATGGCAGCCAGCAGACACCAAATCTGCCAGTGTCTTTATCTTGGGCTTTCCAGCATTCAGAATGGTGAGAAATAAATATTTATTGTTTCAGCCACTCAATCTATAGTATTTTTTTTTTAATCCTCACAGAAGGACATGCTTAAAAAGAGGAAGGGATTCAGAAAGAGATAACATTGATGTGAAAGAGAAACACTGATCAGTTGCCTTCCTCATGCACCCAAGGTATTTGTCCTTTATGTCAAACCATAGCCCAGGTATATGCCCCTTATCAGTGAAGCAGGAATTCTGGGGGAACATAGGCTGGCTTAGAGATTCTTTAGAATTGAGGTCTATGGAAAGGCTGCAGACTGGGAGAAGGTACATTTCCATAACACAAGGAAGTCAAGTGCAGTTACATTTCCATAAGACAAGGAGGCAACAACAGGTATATTTATGTAAGACAAGGTTACCTAGAAATAGCCAAGAAACATCCATATTTACAAAATAGAAGAAAGCCCAAAGGGAATAGGAAAACAAGAAAGAAGGGCAGGGAGAACCTCACATGTCTCATGTGAGGTTCAATCTTTGAACCCAGGAGTTACTATAGTAACCAGTATTAAGGGAATAATGACCAATCAGAGGGGAATATCAAGGCGCCAGGACTGCAGCCTTTATAAGCCACAAGGATAGGGAACTCAGTAGGGCTCTTCCCCCCTCTCCATGTGGGAGTCCATTCTGTGGGACTCTTCTCCCTCCCTACATGGGATTCAGTTCTGTGGGACTTCCCTCTCCCTCTGTGGGAGTATGTACTTGCTCTTCAATAAATCTCCATCTTTGCTATACCACTTTTTGTCCATGAAATCATTCTTCAATTACAGCGGACAAAGAATTTGGGTTCTAGTCCAAAAAGTTCGGTATCATCAGGAATTGAACTGGCAACCTTTCCAAGCACAGGATGATGCTCAACCAACTGAGCCACTCCACCAGACAGTGCTATTTTTGTTATAGTGGCCTGTAGAAACTACTGTAATGCCCCTCCATCCTTTGTCATATCTGAATAAGCTCAAAGTTATAAATGACCCACTTACTATTATAGTGGGAAACTAAAACCTGGCCACAGAACAATGGAAAACTGGTAGGTAGCCTTAAAAAAAGATATACTAAATCATCAACCAAAAACTAAAAATATCATGCTCATATATGAAAAAGAAGCATTTTCTTTGAAAAGCAGAGTAGAGGGCTTCTTTTGAGTACTTGCCACTAAACATGTCAGTTGTTTAATCCTTTTATTAATATGTTGAAAACATTAAATCTAATTTCATCATACCATTATTCTATTTTAGTATTTATAGTCAAATTCTATTATATAGAATAGTTAAATAATGAAACTTACCTTACTGAGCTGTAGATCAGATTTGTTTGAAAGACCACTATAAAAAAGGTTTTGTCAAAATTAAGAAAGTAATTCAGTATCAATAGAATGTTTTCCATAAAAGACATTCTATATAAGGTAGAACATATTTGGGTCATAAGTCTTTTCCCCCTATTGACCTCTCCTGGCCTTTCCCAACCCCCAGCACATGCCCTCACTCTCCCCCTTCCCCATCTGTATCCATTGGTTATGCTCATACGCAAGCATATATGTCCTTTGGTTGACTTCTTAAGCAATATATTTAAATATGCTTCATTTTACGCATCACTAGGCTCAATGAAAAATTTCTAGAATGTTTATATCTTAAAGATTTCTAAAATGATATGCTGCATCAATTTGGTATTTTTGATACTTTATATAAAATATAAGATACTAGAATGTCTAATTTCAAATTTAGTTATAATTTAAACAGCTACTATTTACAAAAGTAAATAAGTTACTATGTGTTTTCTACTAGTAAGTTACATTATTTTAACTTGTTGAAAATTAACCTTAAAACAGTGTAAAAGAATTTAGTTGTATCTGTCAGAAAAATATTCATGTCTCAAACGTAAGAATATACCTGTTAATGAAAGACTCCTTTAACTTTCTTGCAGACTGTATACCATCCTTTGGTTTGTATCTCTTATTAATTTGACTTATCAAGGATTCTGCTGCATCAGCAAGTATTTTCCCTTTTGACTTTTCTCTCTGAAACAATTTATAAATTATTTTAAAAACCCTATAACTTAACCTTCAAATAAAAATAAAGGCTGAAAAAGAAAAAAAAAGGTAAAAGAAAAATCGGTTTCTATGTATAGCCACAAAGAAATAAAGGGAGTCAAAAATTACTCGGTAAGTTTGGTCTTTGTTAAGCATTAAAACAAGTCAGGGTAAGTTTTTTAACATATAGAAATAATTGTGAAAAGTGCTCTGTAGATATTACTTTTTAAAAGTGAAACTCATATAAAAAATAAAGGAAACTAAAAAACTGGTTCTTTGTAAAGATCAATAAAGTTGACAAGCCTCTAGTAAGGTTAACTAAGATAAAAAGAAAGATGTAAAATACAGATATTATTAATACCCAAAGAGGCTATCACTAGTAATTACATGGACATTACAAGGATAATAAAGAAATATTATAGACAACTCTATGCCCATAAATTTGATAACCTAGATTAAATGGACCATTTCCTTGAAATTCTTTAAAAACTCATGAAAGAATTACCTGACTAGGCCTGTATTTATTAAGTCAATAGTTAATACCTTCCAAAACAGAAAACACCAGGGTCAGGTGGGTTTACTGGTGAGTTCTATAAAACATTTAAGAAGAATAACAATTTTCTACAATCTTCCAGGAGACAGAAGCATAGGGAATACTTCTTAACTCATTTTATGAAGACATTATCAGCTCATGAACATAGATGCAAAAATCCTGAAAAATATTAGCAATCAAATCCAAAAATGTATAAAAAGAATTGTCTACCACAGCCAAGTGGAATCAGCCAAGTAAGCAAGGCTGATTCAGTTTTTAAAAATGAATTAATGTAATCCATCATATTGAGTTAAAAAAGAAAATCATGATCACATCAATGGATGCACAAAAACATTTTGACAAAATCCAATATCCATTCATATCTCTTAGAAAACCAGGTACACAGGAGAATGTCTTCTACTTCATTAAGTTCATAAAAAGAAAATATAGCAAACATCATACTTAATGGAAACCAGATGCTTTCCCACTAAGATCAGAAACAAGAAAAAGATGTCTGCTCTCACACTCCTATCAGCATCATACTAAAGTCCTAGCTAAGGCAATAGACAAGCAAAGGCTATACATGGTAAACAGATTGGGAAGGAAGAAATAAAACTATTTTTATCTATGTATAAAAATCTCAATCAACAAAAATATTCCTGGAACTAAAAAGCCATTATAGAAATGGTGGAAAGATATAAAAGTAATAATAAAAACTAATCACTTTCTTATACATCAGTAACTAACAATTGGAATATGAAATTATATACACAAGATATATATGAGGAAAACTTCATGACTCATATGAAAAATAAAACATCTAAATAAATGGAAAGGGTCAATATTGTCAGTTTTTTCCAATTTGATTTAAAGATTCAATGTAATCCCAATCAATATCTTAGAAAGTTATTTTTTAGATATCAACAATATGATTCTCAAGTATACATGGAGAAGCAAGAGACCCAGAATAGCCAACACAATGTTGAAGGAGAAGAACAAAGTTAGAGAACTGACATTACCCTACTTTTAAGGCATAATGATAGAGTTATAAGTATAGTGCAGTACTGGTGAAAGAATAAACAAATAGAATAGAATAAAACAGATGGCCCAAATATAGGTCTCAAAGTATGGTATAAAATAGCTAAAAATGTCCTGGGGCTGTTCTACAGATGATTAATCTGCAGAAAGTGGGGCATCCAATGGGGATGAGCAACAGTTATGGAAGATAGTATCCTCCACCCCACTTACATCCTTTCTTAAAAAAAACCTTGTAAAACTTTAATGCAATGATGCCAAAAAAATACTTCAGATAGCTACTATTTGCAAAGTTTACACTTATAGTTTAGAGTGAAAAAAAATCACAAAACACAACCATTTATTAAGAAGAAAGTTAAGCACCATTTGAGAGGCAAAGGCACAGACAGTTCTACATGCATGTTCAAAAAAATCTAAGGGACAGAGTGAGAGACCCAACAGGAGGAAACAAGGCAGAAATTAATATTAATACCAGATGTCAACTGTAACTGAAAAGTAAAAGTATATATTAAAATGAATTTCTCTTGTAAACTTTAAAAATGTATTATAGAAATTGTAATATGACTAGAAAATTAAAAATTACATATGTGGCTCACACATAGAAAAAGGAGCCAAAACAGAGTTCATTCATGCAATTTCTACATACATGCCTGTGGCACTCACAGGCATGTGTTTTATCAGAGCCAGGATTAGAGATGCAGGAATTCAATAGGCACTTGCTCTGACTTTGAATGAAAGAACAAAGTATTTCCAAATGTTAAATTTGCAGCAATCAAACAAGTTTCTTTCTTCTGTTTTTAAGTAGGCATACTATGGGTATGCAGAAATAAAACACACTGAAAGCTCACCATTTTGTTTTGTTTCAAATCCAAGAAATTAAATTCAGATGTTAATCTTTTCCTTGATTTCCTAATACTCTTTGTATTTTTACTATGAGAGGGGCTTTTATCACAAATAGCAGTATTCACATCTTTTGACAATATGTATTTCTTCCTATAGATGAGAGATTCTTCAACCGTCTTATTTAGGAGAACTGATTTAAAAGTAGTTTCAGATTCAATATGCCAATCACTTTGCTTGGTATTTTCAATATTTTTCTGCTTTGAACATTGATTTAGTTGCTCATTGGTTCTTCTGCAACCATCTACTCCTTTATCTATTTTGTTACACTGCATTATTTCTTTTTTATATTCCACCTTTCCTGTTTCTTCAGAATTATCATCAGATACTGAAGAGGATGATTTGTTTTTGTTGATAGCAGTATCTACAATAGTAGGAAAAAGAGAAATTAATCCTTATCTATCTATCTATGTAAAAGCCTAATATGCCAACTAACCAAATAGCAGAACCACTGGTGGAATGACCCAGTCACTACAACACACACTGACCATGCAGGAGTTGCCCCCAGCCTACAGGCCCTGACAGGTGGAAGTGGTGAGGGGGCAGGGCTGGTGAGCAGGTTGCACCAGGCTGGCCAAGGCAAGTGTGAGCAGAGACCCCCTGGTCACTCTGCTGGTCACTCCGCAGATACTGGTCATGCCACAGAGGGAGATGGCGGAAATAGCAAGTGGGAAGCACCAGGCTGAGGTGGGTGCAAGCTGGGGCTCTAATCACCCTACTGGTGGCCCCACAGATCAGCCTTGATCACCGGCCAGGCCTACGCACCCTACCCGTGCACACATTTCGTGCACCAGGCCTCTAGTTAAATTAATAAACAGATAATGTGTAAACTTTGTTAAAACCAAATATATTTGTGAGACATTTCAAGAAATGACTATTCCCCTGAACTACTATTATATACAGAAAAAACTATAGTTGACCCTTGAACAACACAGGGTTTGGGGTATCAACCCCTAAACAGTAAAAAATCCACGTATAACTTTTGACTCACAAAACTTAATAACATAGTCAATTAACACATATTTTGTATGATGTGTTTTATATACTATACTAGAGGCCTGGTGCACGAAATTTGTGCATGGAGGGGCAGATGCTCCTCAGCCTGGCCTGCACCCTTTCTAATCTGGGACCCCTCAGGGGATGTCTGTCTGTCTAGGGCCGATGCAGGCAGTCAGACATTCCTCTCACAATCCAGGACCACTGGCTCCTAACTGCTTACCTGCCTGCCTGATGCTCCTAACTGCTCCCCTGCCTGCCTGATCACCCCTAACCACCTCACCTGTTTGCATGATTACCCTAACTGATCTTCCTGCTGTTCTGATCCCCATAACTGCTCTTCCCTGTCGGCCTGATCCCTTAACTGCTCTTCCCTGCTGGCCTAATCCCCCTATTTTCCCCTGCAGTCCTAATTCCCCTAACTGCTCTCCCCTGCAGGCCTGATCACCTCTAAAGGCTTCTGCCTCGGCCTCACCACCATGGATTTGTCCAGAAGAACTTCTGGAAGATGTCTGGTCTAATTAGCATATTATCCTTTTATTACTATAGATTATTTTCTCTTGTAAATGAGAGGAAAAATATTAAGAAAATCATGAGAAAGAAAATACATTTATAAAATTTATTGAAAAAAAATCTGCACATAAACGGATGGACCCATGCAGTTCAAACCTGTGTTGTTTCAGAGTCAACAGTAGCTGGGCTGCTATGGCTCAGTGGTTGAACATTGACCTATGAATCAGGAGGTCACCGGTTTGATTCTGGGTCAGAGTCAGAGCACATGCCTGTATTTAATATTTGATCCCCAGTGGGGGATGTGCAGGAGGCAGCTGATCAATGATTCTCTCTCATCATTGATGCTTCTATCTCTCTCTCCCTCTCTGAAATCAATAAAAACTTTTTTTTAAAGAGTCAACCGTGTATGTTTTTAAAAAATATATATATATATTTTATTGATTTTTTTTACAGAGAGGAAGGGAGGATAGAGAGTTAGAAACATCGATGAGAGAGAAACATCAATCAGCTGCCCCCTGCACAACTCCCACTGGGGATGCGCCCGCAACCAAGGTACATGCCCTTAATCAGAATTGAACCTGGGACCCTTCAGTCTTCAGGCCAACGCTCAATCCACTGAGCCAAACTAGTTAGGGCAACTGTATGTTTCACCTTGAAGAAATGTGTCTCCTTGTGAAGTACTTGCTCTTTGATTATTACACAGATTAATATTTGTTACAGGCGTCCAACATGCCCATTTAGAAGGCATTTTATTTCCATGAATGTTGTATGAAACGTCAGGTAACCTGGAAAATAAATTCATTTGCTTAATATATCATAAAACATTAGCTATAATTCTGACATAAGACTTTGTTTTTTTAAAATATAGTCAGTGTTTATTGATAGCAATTTTTACCAGTCAAGTATGAAAATATTTTAGTAAGTCATTATGAAAGTTAAAATTAAAAAAAGAAAGTTAAAATTTATCATATAATTAATAAAATTAGATTTAAAAGTTCCATTATTTCTACTATATTTATATTTACCTAAATACATCTCACATAACTTACATGTTCCACTGTATATTTAAAGTAGGTTACATTTCTATACATTGATACTTTATTATTTTAAAAATCTCATTCATTTGAATCTCTCAATTTGAAAGTAGTTAAGTTGGTACTTATGGACAAAACAGACTATTTCCCATTGTGCTATCATAATACGTGAGAGATGATTAATGCTATAAACAATCTATATAATAAAAGCCCAGCGACCTTTATGACATAACGACCAGAATGACTGGTTACTGTGACAATGCACTGACCATCCGGGAAAAGACACTATAGGAGCTCCCCCCTGGTGGCCAATGTAGGAGCTGCCCCCTAGTGGTCAGTGTGCTCCCATGGAGGGAGCACTGCTCAGCCAGAATTCCTGCTCAGCCAGAATTCCTGCTCAAGGCTGACAAGTGCAGCCACAGTGGAGGGAGCTTCTCCAGCCCCTGAGGCAGGGCTAAGGATCTGTGAACCAAGTGGTAAGGAGCAAGCAGGTAGGCAGTTAGGAGTGAGCAGGCTGGCAGTTAGGAACAAGGGGTCCTGGAATGCCAGAGGGCACAGGCTGGGCTGAGGGATCTGCCCCCGCCCCCATACACACAAATTTTGTGAATCAAGCCTCTAATGAAACTAGAAAGCTTTTTCCTTTAAATTTGTTACATTCATCTAAAAATAAATATACACACTAAAAAATTTGATGAGCTTTCTCATACTTACACAGATTTATCTATTTTTCCTGCTGCTTGAGAACCGAGAACAAAATTCTTGGAGTCATCTAAATAAAACAAAAATTAAGGTATTTTCATTTTTTTTCATGCAGTTGGCAGGGCAAAATTGGAATAGATTTTGATCAAGGTTTAAATATTGGGATAAAGAGACTGATCAATCGAGTTTTCCCCTTTTCAAACCCAAACATCTTGGGAACAGAGAGTATATTTCTTTGTTACTTCTAAGTTCCTTGAATAAAGCTGAATACATTTATTATAAATCTTTCTTTTTTAAATCAAAGAAAGCCAGTGTGGCCAAAAGGAAGTTTTATAAAGAAGATTAAATTTAAAAAGTACTTACTAAAATTTTGGTTTAGGAATTCAATGTCCTTATTTTCTGTCTTTTCTGTAACGTCAGCATTATTCATATGCTATAAACACAGGAAACATGTTACAGTAAATTTGAATTAAGGTATTGTAGGAAAACAACTTTTAAAATTATTAAAAATTAATATTATTAATAATATTAAAGATTAAAAATAAATTTGCTTTGCTATTAAAAGCTGGATAGTATTTCTATTTACAGTTGACCTTAAAACAAATTGTGACCTCTGTCACATTTGCATATAACTTTTGATTACCTCAAAACTTAACTACTAATAGCAACTGTCTGGATGCCTTACTGATAACATAAACAGCTGACTAATACATATTTTGTATGTTATATGTATTCTATACTATATTCTTACAATAAAGCTAGAGAAAATAAAATGTTAAGAAAATATTGAGAAAATACATATATTTACAGAATTTAATGAAAAAAATCCATGTGTAAATGAACTCAAGGTCATGTTGTTCAAGTATTAACTGTATTTCATTAAGGTTATTCCCATTTTAGAATATCAGTTAGCCTAAAATACAAGAAAATGACTTTCACTGCAGATAAGAAAGCATAAAATCCTATAAATTTTCTGGTCACTTCATAGCCAGTAAAACAATTAAATCTTTATCTGGAATTGACAATTTCTAGAACCTTCATGGCACATTTCCTATTGTTTTGATCTCATAACCTGCATCTATTCTGTCTTTTCACTAATATACATAAAGGAGTTGGAAATTATGGAACATTAAATGTTTTGTAACTTATTGCACAACCATCTTCTTAACTATAGCAAGTTTCCCTTTTCCCACACTTACCCAGATAAAATAAAAATATGTCAAAAGAAAATACCCTCTAGGCCAAGATATTTTGCCTCATCCTGGCTTTCTTTCCTACTTATTCTAGCCAGTAGTTCTACTACCGTGGGAGAGGAGCAGTATGAAAATGTGTTGGTGTGGTTTTGGTGGTCATAAAGACAGAAGGGTTCCCCTGACAATAAGCAAGCACAGGCCTAGCATGCTTATCATCCTATAACATTCTGTACCACACCACAAAACTGAATAGTGTCCCTAGTACGAAACATTTAGCAAGACAATTTGAACCATCACTTATAGACTATTTTTTCTAATATATTCAACTCTTGCACCCTTTATCTTTATGCCACATAACCATTTAATTTTTTAAAAATCATCTATTCTTTTTCTTTTTTGTTTGCAATCATTTTTTTATCATTATATTCTTTTTTAATCTAACACCAAAGATACTAAACTTTGAGGGATTACACATTTTTTTAATATCTATTGTTCAGATTATTACAGATGTTTCTTCCCCCTCCCATAGCTCCCTTCCACCCAATTCCCACCCCACGCCATGCCCTTATCCTCCCCCCAGCTACCTCGTCCATAGATGTAAGAATTTTGTCCAATCTCTTTCTGCACCTCCCACACCCTCTTCCCCCTAAGGATTGTCAGTCCACTCCCTTTCTATGCTCCTGATTCTATTATATTCACCAGTTTATTCTGTTCATCAGATTTTTTATTCACTTGATTTGTAGATTCACTTATTGATAGATATGTATTTGTTGTTCATAATTTTTGGGCCTTTTTTGGGAAGCTTTGGAGCTCTCTGACCCAGTGGCAGTTTGTTAGGTCTTAGGCTGCAAAAGGAAGGCCATTCATATGCAAAAACCACTGCACACAGCTTGGATGGAGTTGTAAATTGAGTGGGGCATAGTCTCAGAGAATCACCAGGGTAGAGCAAACAGCAATGGCTGACAGTCAGCCCTGTACCCTGGAGGTTCCCGCATCTCCATATCCCACAACCCCATGCAGGAACAATGGTCACTGTGAGCACCTCTGAGAGAAAGTGCCCTCTGTTCCAGCCAGATGCTAGACAGTCCAGTTTCTCCCCATATGAGTCTGGGCCCCCAGAGTCTTGCCTGGAAATGGACTTCAGTGCAACCGGGAACTTGTATCTACCTCCCAAGTGAAAAAAACAACGCACCCAGTTTCCAGCCCATTTCATGTACGCCTCTGTACCGCCACACCTCCATACCTCCTACCAATTTCAATGCGTTTTTTCTTTCCTTCAAGTTGGAGATCTTCCACTCAGTCAGCTGGTTCTGGATAATTGTTTTGTCTTTTAGTAGTAGTTTTGATGTGGTTGTGAGAGGCAGCAAGTATAGGTATTTACCTATGCCACCATCTTAGATCTCCTTTACATATTTTTGAACCAATGCTATGATAAAATGTATAGTCTCTAATTTAAACTGGGTCTCTACATTGCCTAACACTGATACTCATTCTTAGCCTTCTCCATTATCTCTCAGTAGCTATCCAAAACTTTACTTGTCCCTGAACCCTCTACATCAATTTATCCCCAAGAAAAATCCAACATCTTCACACTTCAGAGGAAACAAAAGCTAGCTACTAGGTGTTCTTCACCTACAAAGGTATCTGTACCTCTGATTACCTCCTATTTATCCAGGGAACAGCTTTCTCCTATCCATTCCCTGCTCTGTTTCCTCAGTTACCTGAAATGAATACCCTTCTTCTAAATGTCCATTTTAATAACCTTTACTTATCCTTCAAAAATCAACTCATTTTCCATCTCCTTAGAGAGCTTATCTTGATTTTCCCTTCCCCCTCCAGCTCTGGGGTTAGACATTAGGCCCCCACTATGTTTCTACTGAACCCTATAAGTATATTTGAGAAGATTTATCCAATAGTAGAATTATCTTATTAATTTATCTAATTCCCATGTTAGAGCTGAAGATACTTAAGGGCAGAGTCCACTTGTATTTTATATTTCTAAACTAGAATATCCTCATAGAAGATACTAATTTGTATAACTAGAGAATGATGATGAGTCCATTCTCCCACCAAATGGGTAAATCAGAGCTATATTAAATGGATATTCCTAAAGTATATTGTCAGTATAATAAATGAGTTGTATGTGAGAATGACCTTACTTTCAAGTATAATAAGTGATAACTTTTAAAAAAGCAATGCCTTGCCGAAACCGGTTTGGCTCAGTGGATAGAGCGTCGGCTTGGGGTCTGAAGGGTCCCAGGTTTGATTCCGGTCAAGGGCATGTACCTTGGTTGCGGGCACATCCCCAGTAGGGGGTGTGCAAGAGGCAGCTGATCGATGACTCTCATCGATGTTTCTAACTTGCTATCTCTCTCCCTTCCTCTCTGTACAAAATCAATAAAATATAATAAATAAATAAATAAAAAATAAAAAAGCAATGCCTTAAACGAAGACACTGCTTGTAAAAAGTTAACTCTATATGTATTTCTACAATAACGTGATAAATAACTTATTGTAAAAATGCTTTCCAAGTAAAGTTACTTTGTGTGTCTCATCTCCTCTACTTCTTTCTGCAGGTGATTTAGACTGATGTGATACAGCATTATCCACTCCAGTTTTAGAAACACCAAGTTTCTCTGCAGAACTCCTCACTTGTAGCGGTGGTTTAATTTTTCCTCTTCGTGGTGCTGCTAAAAAGGAGAAAGAAGGACTGGCATATTTATGGGTTTTTAACATTACATATTGTTATTATTGAGGTACTATTTAGATGAGGAAGGTAAAAAAGGAAAGTTCTAAGATGGTCCCCAGGTTTTGGTTTAAATGAGTAAGTTGATACCATTTACCAAGGTAAGAAATGGAGAAAAAAATTAGCGAGGGGTGGTGGTGGTTGAAACATGAATTTATCTTGGACTTGCTTTTGAGTAGCCTATTGAACATTAGACAACAGCCCAATAGGCAATTGGATTCTAGAAACAGAGGTCACTACTAATTTGTTATAAAGATTTCTTTAAAAAGAACAAAAAATTGTCATGAAGATTAAATAGTCCTGACTATTTGGCTCAATGGATAGAGTGTCGGCCTGTGAACTGAATGGTCCCAGGTTTGATTCTGGTCAAGGGCATGTACCTTGGTTGTAGGCACATCCCTAGTGGGGTATGTGCAGGAGGCAGCTGATTGATGTTTCTCTCTCATTGATGTTTCTAACTCTATTCCTCTCGCTTTCTCTCTGTTAAAAAACAAATAAAATATATTTTTAAAAAAGATAAATAAGATGGTATTTATAGCAATTTATATATAGTATCAGGTTATTTATTTTTATTTAACTTTAAGTATATAACAGGTACTGTCCAAATGTTTCACAATATTCCTTGTCATGTGAATGAATGATTTTTCCTTAAACCTCTACACATTTTTATAGAAAGGAAACTGGTTCTAAGCTTAACTAGAGGATAATCTTTATCATGTACACAGTTGGGAGTGGGGAAACAAGCCAATGTGGCCTAATTCAATGTTTTATCCACTATGTCATGCTGCTCCCACTTGAATATTAAACTATTAATGCTGGATTTTAATATTTTAAATAATATTTATATGTCAATACCCATTAAACCTTTCTTAGACATTTGAAATTTCTTGACAATTACAAAACATTAGTGGTTCATAGTTTTCAATTTTTATATCCCCAACATATCCTCCAGGTAAATTATGTCCAGCATACCCCTGAATTTAAAAAGGCCTGATTTAAAATATATTAACAGTTGTTAGAAATCTTTTAAGATTAGAAAACTCACATGCGTTGATTAAATGTAATGGACTTCTCTTGTTGTATATTTCTGCACCAGTAACAAGGATTGAAGCTTCAGACATTTTTCTTTTGCCAGGAGTGATTATCTTAAGCCATGAGAAATAACCATAATAAACACACAGTATTTTTTGAAATTAAATATTCTAGTCTTATAACAACTTACCCTAACTGTACACAAAAGATATGTGACATTTAAGAAACAACACTAGAGTCCCAGAGCACAAAATTTGTGCACTCAGGGGGTCCCTCAGCCCAGCCTGCACTCTCTCATAGTTTGGGAGTCCTTAAGAAAGTGGGCCCAAGCCATCAGTTGGACACCCTTAGTACTACCATGCAGATGGAAGAGGCTCCCACCATCACCGCTGCACAGCACTCACCAGCTGTGAGCCTGGCTCAGGACTTCTGGCTGAGCAGTGCTCCTCCTGTGGGATAGCACTGACCACCAGTGGGCAGCTCCTAGATTGAGCATCTGCCCCTGGTGGTCAGTGCATGTCATAGCAATTGTCATTCTGCCATTCAGCCGATTTGCATAATAGCCTTTTATTATATAGGACTAGAAACCTGGTGCATGAAAATTCATGCACGGGGGTTTGGGGAGGGTCCCTCAGCCTGGCCTGCCCCGTCCTATAATCCTGGAGCCCTCAGGGGATATCCTTTTGGTGGCTTAAGCCACAGTCTGGCCTCCCTCTGCAGGAGGCAACCTGGATAATCAGGGGAAGCACCACTCCCATTACCCTGCTGCTGCTGGCACTGCCAGCCATTGGGGCTGCGAGGCCTGAGCCCTGAGCCTCACAGCCAACAGTGCTCATGGCTGCTTGAGCTGCCGGGGCTCACAGCTGCCTAAACCCTGGGTCTTGCAGCCTCTGGGGCTCATGGCCACCTAAGCTGTAGGCTGCCTGAGCCCCAGGCCTCAAAGCCACTGTGTCTTTGTCCGATGGATGTCCAGATTAATGTCCAGAAGACATCTACCCTAATTAACATATTACCCCTTTATTAGTATAACTAGAGGTTTGGTGCACAAAATTCATGCATGGGGTGAAGGGATGTGTCCTTCAGGCCAGCCTACACCCTCTCCAATCTGGGATCCCTCAAAGGATGTCTGACTGTCCTTATAGACTCAATCCCAAGATTGGGCCTAAATGGGCAGTGAACATCCCTCTCATAATCCAAGACTGCTGGCTCCCAACCACTTGCCTTTCTGCCTGCCAGATTACCACCAACCACTCTCCTGATCAATGCCTAACTGCTCCCCTGCTGATCCAATTGCCCCCAACTGCCCTCCCCTGATGGTCTGGTCACCCATAATTGCCCTCCCCTGCAGGCCTGGTCCCACCAAATTACCTTCCCCTGCAGGCCTGGTTGCCCCCAACTGCCCTCCACTGCTGGCCTGATCACCCACAATTGTGCTCCCCTGCCAGCCATCTTGTGTTGACCATCTTGTGTCCACATGGGACGGTCATCTTTGACCAAATGGGGGGTGGCCATATTGTGTTGGGTTGATGATCAATTTGCATATTACCTCTTTATTAGATAAGATGATGCCCAGAAATTTGTTTTAGGCTGCCTTTCATTAAGAATTTTATTCTAATGTTTGGTATTGAACAGAAAACCAAAACAAGAAAAGGATATTGTTTTTAAAGAATATTTATAGAACATCTAGAGATGTAAAAAAAAAAAAAATTATTGCTACTGAGGTTAGCTAGTTAATCAATGGTTCACAGTTTCCTATTCTATTTCATGAAGAGGATATTTAAATACATGTTGATTAAACTTGTTTGTGAATGCATTCATAATGTTAATCATTGTCTAAAACTTTCTCACATTTAAAACGTTGTTTAAATATTTTGCAAAGACTAAACTGCCTTTGGAGTAAAAAGTAGCTACTGGAATTCAGAAAATCAATGACACACAAGCTTGTGGTCAGATGAGCTGCATTTTTAACTTCATCCTGGAATGACTGATAAGAGCCATAGAAGTAGATAAGCATAGGCAGGAACAACATGGGACAGGAATGTTACAGGGTAACATATAAAGAAGTAGATGGTGACAAAGTGTAGAGGAGGAGGAGAGAGCTATTTTAAAAAGGCACCTGCCACTAAGACAGGAAAAAAAACACTGATGGAGACCTCCATATGATGCATGGAAGAAAGGTGGGAGAGCACAGGAGAAAAGTGAATTTAACATTAAGCAGGAAACAAACTATGAAACCAATAACTTAAAAAAAAAAGACAGTTTCTAGTGGTATATCAAATAGGACTTGAATAGTTTAGTCAATCATATAAATGCTTCAGACTTTTATTGAGGCATCAGACTTTTTTTTTTTTTTTTTTTCTTGGAGTAATTATCTTAAACCATGAGAAACAACCACAGGAAAAACACAGTATCTTTTGATACTGAAAACATAGTGGCTATTTCACAATACTGCAATGTTTTAAATCTTTACTGTGCTTAAGATCTTTCCCAGAGGTCCTATATGATTCAAGAGGTATAAGATGGGTGGGGATGGGGGAGTCCAAGAATGTCATTGAGTTTCTGAATTCTGGCACAAAACTGCATTTTAATAGGTACTCAAGTTATGATTCTGATATAAAGACATAAAAATGTCTTTTCTGATATAATCATCTAAGGGAAACATAAGATGACATTTTAAATTTAATGACAGAAACAAGACTAAAGGAAAAAATCCTAACAAACATAATAAAATGCATGGAAAAGCCTATGTAATTTATAGTTGCTTAAAGGTAAAAGATTAGTAAACACTGAAATAATCAGAAAAAACTCTAGGAAGAAGATAAAAATGAACCAAGACTTGCAAATGTACATACACCTTAGATGAGTAGAGGTAAAACAGGAACAACAGAAGTAAAAGTATCAAGGCAAGCATGACCATGACATAAAAAGAGATCAAAGCAACTGACCTTCTTAAAGTTGAAGGGCATTTTGATAGAATAAAATTGTAGTCTCAGAACAGAGTCAAAGGTTAGACTAAGTGAGATCAACACAGATCACAAAGTTTTCTGAGCAGAAAAGTGCTAACAGTAAGAAAAACCAGTGCTCTACCATATAAGGTAGCTCATAAGAAACAATGTTGTCAAAGGTAAATTAAGAGGTTAATATGTTAATCGATATAAGTGAAAGAGGAATGAAAGGAACAAGGTAGAGAGTAGGGAGATACTAGGAAACACAACCCTAACACATTAGTTGTAGTAAGGAGGAGAAGAGGCTGGAATCAAGGATATTGTCAATGGTGCATTATGGAAGTACTAGAGGCCCAATGCATGAAAATTCATCACTTGAGGGAGGGGGTCCCTCAGCCCAGTCTGTGCCCTCTTGCAGCCCAGGACCCCTTGGGGGATGTCTACTTGCTGGCTTAGGCCCGCTCCCCACAGATCAGGCCTAAGCTGGCAGTTAGACATTCTTCTGTTAGCCCAGGACCCTCAGGAGATGTCCACCTGCTAGCTTAGGCCCGCTCCCCGGAGAATTGGCCTAAGCTGCAGTTGGACATCCTTAATGCTGCCCAGGAGGTGGGATAGGCTCTCACCACCACACTATGCTCACAGCTGTCAGCTCAGCTTAGGACTGAGCAGAGCTTCCCCTATGGGAGTGCACTGTCCACCAGGGGGCAGCTCCTATGTTGAGTGTCTGCCCCTTGGTGGTCAGTGCATATCATAGCAACTGGTTGTTCTCCTGTTAGGGTCAATTTGCATATTACCCTTTTATTATGTAAGATGAAGGCAGATACAAATTTGAGATGAAAGGTAAAGACTTATATGTTAGACTTCAGGAAAGAGCTTGAAGAGACATGGAGAAGGAAATATTAAGACAGTAAGTGGAGATATAACTATAGAACTTTAAGAGCTTAAATTATACATAAGAAGGAAGCTCACTAAAGAAGAAGGCATAGGGATTTTGGATATGAAGCTTTGATAACAAATCTACTTTCTGGAGGTAGGGAGACAGTATTTCTGATATAGTAATAGAAAGAGGTAGAGAATTAAAATACTAACATAGAAGTCAAACAATAGGAGGACATAAAGGAAGAGAGGGCTGCTAGCAATGTCCAGTGTCCCAGAAGCTATGATGAAGAAGGGTGAGGCTGAGAAATGGTGCTACAGGGCGTGGCCTAGAGGAGATCCTCAATGGCACAGGGAGAGGGGAATATAGAAGACAGAAAGGTTATATCTCTAACTTGGAATTTCCAAGTGTAGGTTACACCTTGTTCTAACCCTTACACATAAACATAATTTGCTAAAACTCTATCTTTTGTTTCTATTTGTAAAAGGCAGGGGAAGTATTTTGAAATATTACAGATGCTTTTCTCAGTAATTATATATAGCAATAATTTGATCTATCTACCTATTTATCTATTATATATATATTATAAACTACTATTTTGACACCATATTTACCTCAGATTGACTATTTTTTCTGTCCCCTTGAGTACTATTTTTAATACGTTCTGGAGGTTTAGCAAATTCCTTTGGAGAGTTAGGATTTTCTTTCAAACTAATGAGTTCTTCTGCATCTAGTGAGATTTGACTTTCTGGCACAAGAATCTGTTGGGGAATGCAGAAAAAGTATTTAAAACTGCAAACTATAGGATATCCCCCAAAACCATTGGACATCTCACACTTCTGAAGGTCAATTCTTTCCAAAGGTCAATTCTTTCAATATTCTATGTACTGTTATAATTTTTAGTCTTACAAAATAACTCAACTAAAAGCAGCTACTTTTAAAAATGTTAATAGACATAACACAAGCTTTGGCATTAAAGGAAAGACATATACTTCTAATTTTTAAACTTATCAAAACTGGTATTGATGAAAAACTTAATATCTATCTTCTGTACTCAAATAGTCATTAATTACATGTTTAAAAATAATTTATATTTCATTAAAGCATTCTTCATGTTTAGACAATTTATTTTTTTAGACAGTTACTCTCCAACATGAACTTTATTATTGTGCCATTATTTGAGTTAAAGTTAGCCCAAAAATCAAGTAAGTTAGACACATACCTGTGATCCACTTGCATCAAAAAGTATATGCACAGGTGTTTCGGCAATTGAAATACCTTGTTTGCTGGTAAACTCCTAAAATTAAATTAATTCAGTGATAACATTTTCTTCTAGCTCTTTCTATTTTAATATAATTATTTTCTACCTGTTTAAAAATGCCAATTTAAGAGAGAAACCAAGATGGCGGCATAGGGTAGACACCCGAATGCAGCCTACCACAACAAATTTGAATTTAGAACTGAAAAACAGGGGAGGCATTGCCCTGAAACGCCAGACGGCTGGCTGAGAGGAGGCTCTGCCATCTGGGAAGGAGAGAGAAGGCACGCTGAACCTCAGGAACTGTGAAGGTACGGAGAACTGTGTGCGCAAAAAGGCGCTGGCTTAATCCCGGTGCTGAGAGGAAGGGCCGGACCGAGATTGCTGCTGGCTTACTCCCTGCACGCAGAGAGGGCAGGCCGGGCTGAGTTCACTACTGGCTTACTCCTGGCGCGGAGAGGGCGAACAGCTAACGCGGCTGGCTTTCTTGTCCGAGAGCTAAACAGAATCACCCTATTGCTCTGATAAATGGCCCCAGACAGGGAGAGGCCAGACTGTCAGGCAGTGGGCAGAGATCTCTTGGAGGTGTGTGAAGCCAGAGGCCATTACTGCGGGACTTGGGGAGGAGCCAAAGGGAAAACAAAGTTTGTCTGCACCAACCTGAGACTCCGCCCTACCTGTGGCTGAGCACAGAAGCTCTCCCAGAGGCTGGCTTTCTCTAAGGAGGGACTTGCAGGAATCCAAAGCTTGTCTGCGCCTTTACCAAAGAGGTGTGGGCGCGCCTGCAACCAATCTTCCAAAACTCTCCAGGAACAGGACTTTTCTAAGGCGAGACTGACAGGGAACCAAAGATTGTCTGCGCCACCCCGAGACCCCGCCCTATTCAAGCAGAGTAGGGAAACCCTCCTAGCTGAGACACTGCTGATCCTCACAGCCAATTGGCTTGGAGATCAACGCTTCCCAGTGATACCAACAATAAACAAGACTGCACACACAGCCCACAAAGAGCTACACCAAGACTGTCCACTGCAGGTAATTGGGAAGGCTGTGCTACTGGGCTCTACCAGAACACCTAGCACACAAAGCTATTCCATCAAATCAGGGAAACAACTAAAATGCAGACAAGAAGAAGGACACAAAGGAAGGAGATGGAGGAAAAGAAAAGATTGGACATTGAGTTCAAAACTACAGTTATAAGGTTATTCAACAATATCCTAAAAAAGGCCGATAAAATAAATGAGACCTATGAGGATATAAAAAGGGAGCAACTAGAAATAATAAGGGATCAACAAGAAATGAAGAAAACATTGTCTGAAATAAAAAATATTATATAAAGTCCTAAAAACAGACTGGAAGATCGCAAGAATTAAGACAAAGATTTAGAACACAAAGAGCCAGAGGACACTCCTCTGCAGAAGGGAGAAGATAAGAGAATCCAGAAAGTTGAAGATAGTGTAAGAAACCTCTGGGACAATTTCAAGCGAACCAACATCAGAATTATGGGGATTCCAGAAGAGAGAGAGTAAGATACCGAAAGAGTACTAGAAGAAATAGTGACAGAAAACTTCCCCCACCTGGGGAAAGAAATAGACTTACAAGTCCAGGAAGCCCGCAGAACCCCAAACAAAAGGAATCCAAGGAGGACCACACCAAGACATATCATAATTAAATTTCCAAGAGCAAAAGACAAAGAGAGAATATTAAAAGCAGCAAGAGAAAAGCAGGTAGTGACCTATAAAGGAGCACCCATACGATTGTCAGCTGATTTCTCAACAGAAACCATGCAGGCCAGATGGGAATGGCAAGAAATATTCAAGGTGATGAATAACAAGAACCTACAGCCAAAAATAATCTACCCAGCAAAGCTATCACTCAGAATCAAAGGACAGATAAAGAGCTTCACAAATAAAAAAAATCTAAAAGAGTTCATCACCACCAAACCAGAATTATATGAATTGCTGAAGGAGGTTATTTAGGAAGAGGAAGAAGATAAAGATAAAAATTATGATAAAAAAATACGTAGCTATCAACAAGTGAATCTAAAAACCAAGGGAATTTAAAAATCTGATGAACAATATTAACTGGTGAATATAATAGAATCAGAGGTATGGAAGGGGAGTGGACTGACGATTCTCAGGGAAAAGGGGAGTGGGGGTGCGGGAAGAGACTGAACAAAAACTGTGCACCTATGGATGAGGACAATGGGGGATGGGGAAAGGACAGAGGGTGGGGTGGGAACCTAGTGAAGGGGAGCAATTGAGGGGGGGAAGAGGATCACATTTGTAATAATCTGAACAATAAAGATTTATTTTTTAAAAAATGCCAATTTATTTCAAGTCATTATTTTGTAAAGATATAAATATATTTCTCAGAATACATTAATGACTCCCAAGTAACCACAGCCTTCTTAGTCTGTCATTTTGGCAAGGGCTGCTCATAAACATATTCTCATTCTCTCTCTCTCTCTCTCTCTCTCTCTCTCTCTCTCTCTCTCTCTCTCTCTCTCTCTCTCTCTCTCTCTCCATAAATCTTTTACACTACATGCTCCCACCCCAATTCATGTTGAAGCCCAAACCCCAAAGTGATAGTGTTAGGAGTCAGGAGGTGATGAGCTAACCAACATAGAGCCCTCATAAAAGGGACAGTTCCCTAATAAAAAGAGACTCAAGAGAGCTCCCTCACCTTTCCTACGCACTATGTGAGGATCCAGTGAAAAGATGGCCACTATGAACCAGGAAAAGTGCTCCCATCAGACACCATGTCTGCTGGGACCTAGGATCATGGACTTTCCAGCCTCCAGAACAGTGAGATATCAATGTTTGTTGTTTAAGCCACCTAGTCTATGCTATTTTTGTTACCTGAACTTGTCGACACACTATATCCCCCAAACATAACATGAATTGTCACCTTGAATTCCCAGTTAGACAATATCTAACTCACAGTGGTAGAAAGGGTTTTACCTACTTTTATCCATCAACTTCAAAGGCCATTCAAACCCATCTCTACAGCCTTTCTTTCAAGTCTGATTCCTAAAGAGCATTCTCTTCCCTCAATATCTGTGCTTCATTTTCTTTATGTCACTTACTCATATATTCTGAGGTTTATTCTATAATTTTCACAAATTATATTTATTATCTTGAAAACAGGGCTTTGTCTCATTTAATGTTTTAAATAGTTGGCAGGAATTCATTAAATGCTTTTAGTAGCTGCTGCTAATTTTGTCATCTGAAATTTTTCCTAATAGGTATCTCAAAGGGTATGGCTAACTATATGATAGCTATTCCAATACAAATTTAAAGAACTAAAAATCTCTTTGTCATTTAAAAAATTCTAGAAAAAATTAATAAAACTTGCCGAAACCGGTTTGGCTCAGTGGATAGAGCGTCAGTCTGCGGACTGAAGGGTCCCAGGTTCGATTCCGGTCAAGGGCATGTACATTGGTTGCAAGCACACCCTCGGTGGGAGGTGTGCAGGAGACAGCAAGTCAATGTTTCTCTCTCATTGATGTTTCTAGCTCTCTATCCCTCTCCCTTCCTCTTCTGTAAAAAAATCAATAAAATATATTAAAAAAGAAAAAAATTAATAATACTTATAATCCCAATTAACCAAAAGGTTCCAGAATCTGAAAATAATAGATTTTATGATAAATAGTTTAAACACTTACCCAATGTTTATTTGCACCAAAAAGTTTTTGTGTCACAACAGTGATTTCTAATGAAGCGTCAAAATACAAAAGCAATTCTTTCCCTTTTGTGTTACTAATTTTTAAAATATTTTTCAGAATTATGGTCAGTAGCTTCTTTGATTCTTTCTCTGTACACAAACAAATCACACTGATTACTTTCTATGATACTACTCTATAGGTATACTATAAATAGGAAAAGTATACAGCATATTAATAAAAGTAAATTTGATAAAGTTAACTTTTAGAATTGCACAACATTTAAATTAATTCTAACAGTATCTATGTAAACAAATCAAGTCAATTAAAAAAAGTAAATCAATTTATTTTTCAGAGCCTCCATTTCCTGATCTATAAATTACCGGGTCATACAATAACTAATGAGTTAAAGCTCTGAATACATTCTGAACACCAACAGGTTCTTAATAAATAGTCCTTGAACAGATCTGAGAACACTATTTTTTTAATTTAAAAGAGGCAAACAAAGAAAAGAGCTAATTCCACAAATAACTATATTTCTATACATAAGCATCTGTTTAAATATTTCTATTAAGTCCACACTAGTTACAAACATGTTGACAGTAGACAAACAGCAATTGCTAAAAACATGGGTGCTAGGAAATTTTGAAGGATATAGTGCTAACCTTAAATGAATTTATCAATCCAATAAAAAAGATATTGTAAGTTCCAGTTAATAAGAGTATTCACGTCCCTTCCTCCAAGAACTCATCAAAGATTTACCTGGCACCCAATGCCTGTGCCTGTATTATGGGCTAACCTCCACTTTGGCTCTGTCCAACTTCCAGTGGTTCTCTTCTTACTGACTGATGTATACTTTTCCCTCCATCCCCCCTTTCTCCCCTGCCTCTCCCCCACATCCCATGTATACTTTTGGGCAGGAAATCATCTTGAGGGAAAAGGAGCACACCAAGTAGAAAAAATTAATCCCTACACCAGGAAAAGCTCTGCTGGCCATTCAGTGGCCTACCCTATAGGACACATGTCCCTATAGGCTAGAATACTCTGATTCTTATAAGGCTTACCCAGCTGAAAATGTATTACTTGCTTTTGCAACTATATAGTCATGAAACTTCCACAGTAATGTACTTTGATGGAACTAAGAATTACTAATTGTTTGAAGATAGTTGCAATGTTTTCTAACTCAAACTTTGGCAGTTTTTGTTTGTTTGTTTTGGGGGGGGAGGGGAGTCATGAGCTTCAACATTAAGTTTTCAGGCTTTAGAGATAGATTAATTCCACTTAATGGTCAAATTCATACAAATAAAACATGGAATGGTGGTTATCATTGGCAAGGTGGAGAGGTGAAAGGGGAGTTGTTTAATGGATACAGACTTTCAATTTTGCAAGATGACAAAAGTTCTGGAGATCTATTTCACAACAATGTAAATATACTTAATATTCTGAACTATACACTTAAAAATGGCCAAGATGGTACATTTCATATTATACCCTTTCCCCCCTTTTTTATCGCAATAAAAAAAGAGAGAAATTAAGTGAGGAAACATTTTATACTATGTTGGAAGTATATTGTGTTACAAGGTTCTTATACGCTACATAAATGGGTATAATATTACTTGAACATGAATGCTATTAGGTTAAAGATATATCAAACCCTAAATCAACCAGTAAGAAAAGGAGTGTAAAGCCAACAAAAGAGATACAATAAAAGCATGTAAAATTAATTAATATAAAGGAATAAATAGAACAATAGATACATGGCAGGTGGAATGGCAGGGTTTTATGAGAGCTAGATGGATGGTAAATTTAAAGTATATCAATAATTACATTTAATAAACAAGCCAGTATATGACAACTACAAGAAACCCACTATATATATGTATAGATGATCCTTAAACACACACACACACACACACACACACACACGAATAAGTTAAAAATAAAAGAAAATATATGCCATGCTATAACTAACCAATGAAAAGCTAGAAGGGTGTATTAATGTTACATAAAGTAGATTACCGAGAAAATTATATTACCAGAGGCAAAATAGAACCATTTCATAATGACCATTAAGAAAATAAATAAGAGATAGACTGGGAGAAAAATACTCATGGAATATATATCTGTCAAAGAATTGGTATTCAATATATGTAAGAACTCAAAAACATAGTAAAAGAAGGCAGTCCAGTAAAAAATGGACAAAATATTTAAATAAATACTTCACAAACAAAGACACTGAATGGCCACTAAGGACATAAAAAAAGTGCTCAATACTACTGATCATTAGGAAAATACAAATAAGAACTGTCATGATGCTCTACTCCAGTGGTCGCCAACCTTTCAAATTCCATGGACCACCAGTTGTCGACCACTGCTCCCAAGGTTTCCTTAAACCAGCAGTCACCAACCTTTCAGACTTATGGACCACCAGGGGTCTGCAGACTACCAATTGGTGACTGCTGCTCTACCCCATGCAAATTGCAATGACTAACAGCTCTTGATATCTGAACCTGAAGTGGTGCCAGGCTGCCAAGCTGTCTGCTTTTGTCCAGCAGGGTTATGCAATTCCAGTTGTTTGGATCTAATCAAGCAAAAAGGATGGAAAGACAAGACCTTGAACATATGAACAAGAAAGTGACTATTCATGGGCTATAGACTAGACAGAGAAGAAAATAAGTACAGGAGGGAGCTGGAAGATTGTGGGAGGGGAAAAAATAACCATCAAATTTATTAAGGTGAACATAATGAAAATGTTGACTTTGCTTTCATTAGCCTATTTTGTTTTCCCAGACAGAATCCAACTTGTATTCAATATGATAAGAGTAAAAAAAAGAATCATAGAAAATAATATTAATACCTTCAATGCTGTATATTTGTACTTCTTCCTCAGGCACAGTGACTGCTTCCCACTGATGATCCTTAAAATTTAAAAACAGGTTTTAAATAAAAACAAGTAATTTATGCCTGCTTTAAAGCTTCTATAATCACAATTTTTCAGTTATACAAACAATAGTGGTTATTACTAAATAACCAGTTGATATAACACGTTTCTTGTTCCATCTATTGACTGTATAATACATTATACATGTCACATTTATTTGTTTCACTCTTAAAAGGAATTAATGGTATTAATTTTATGGTTTTCTACTCTTGACCAAAAAGTGACTGTCCATTAATATTTATTTCAAGATATTTCTTTAAAAATTACCAAATCTTGCCCTGGCTGGTGTTGTTCAGTGGTTACAGTGTCAACCCATGCACCAAAGGGTCTCGAGTTCCATTTCTGATCAAGGGCAGGTACCTGGGTTTCAGATTTGCTTCATATCCCCATCAGGCCACAGGCAAGAGGCAACCAATTAATGTGTCTCTCACATCCAGGTCTCGGGGTGTCTCTCTCTCTCTCTCTCTCTCTCTCTCTCTCTCTCTCTCTCTCTCTCTCTCTCTCTCTCTCTCTCTCCATCTTTCCTTTCCTCTTTCCCTCCCTCCTTTTCTCCATCTCTGAAAAACCAATGGAAATGAGGATTAACAACAACAACAAAAATGTTATCAAAGCCTTTCAATTCTTCCTTGGAAGTGTTTCTGTGAAACAGACATTCCTCAAATCCCACTGTTGACTGTCCTTAGATTTAAACATTGAATGCACAGTAATAACCTAAAATATTTCCCCCTTTAAGTACTTTCATTGAAAACGTGTATAGCCCTGGCTGGTTTGGTTCAGTAGATAAGAGCATCAGCCTGTGAACTGAAGGGTCCCAGGTTTGATTCTAGTCAAGGGCACATGCCCAGGTTGCTGGCTTGATACCCAATAGGGAACATGAAGGAGGCAGCCAATTAATGATTCTCTCTCATTATTGATGTTTCTATCTCTTTCTCTCTCTCCCTTCATCTCTAAAATCAATAAAAATTATTTAAAAAGAAAATATGTACAACTGAATAAAATACCAAATAGTATAAAAAGTCAGTGAACATTGGGTGCCATTCCTAAGAGATGGGATCCTAAAACCTTCCAGTAATCTGTGATAAAAATACTGTATTTTCTGGCGTATAAGACGACCCACTAATTTTACAGTTAAAACATAGGTTTAGGCCTATATTCGCTGTATAAGACTACTCCCCACTTCAAAGAAAAGACTTACTTTGCCGTCAAGATCTGCAGGTAATTTTTGTGCAATTTTGGTCTTTTGCCCCCGATTTTCAGTTGACTTTTTTTTTCGTTTCAAAAGTTGTCTTATATGCCGGAAAATACGGTAGATGCAGTTTTGTAGTTACTTAAGAACCACTCATTCTCGTTCTGCTAGTAGCCCTGCACATGAATCCATGCACCAGTAGCTCTCTGTGGGGCCTGGCCACTCTGCGCCTGCTGGCCAGAGGCTCTCTGCGGCCCAGAGACCCCTCCGCAGCTGGCGCAGAATGCTTGTCTCATTGCCGAGGTGACAATGCAAGTGTTTCCCCTTCCCTTGATGCTCACTGCCCAGAGGCCCCCCGCAGCCAGGGTGGAATGCTTGCCTTTTCACCGCGGCAATGAAGCAAGCATTCCACGAGGCCACTAACTCGGCTCCCCACCCTCCTCCAGGACTGGGGGACTCCGGTGCTGAGAGGACTGGGTGCCCCATCTTGTGGCTATGGGCACCTCCATCTTTGTGACTGAGTGGTAATTTGCATATTACCCTTATTAGATAGGATAGAAATTCTCCCTAATTGAAACCAGTCTATACTCTGATGGCAACACTATCATTATAACCCTTTCCAGTTAGGTGCTATTTCTTCCATAGCTCAAAAGCTCTGGTCAGGAGGAAAGTGTTGAGATCACCTCCCCAGTGCTTTGAGCAGCTTTCTCTTTCTTTGTGTGTAAAAGGCCCATGCCAAGTGACATACTCTGTGCCAGTACCTACTGGTTATCATCTACTAACTTCAAAATGACTCTTCCTTGTATATGGAGGCACATGGTTCACTGTTTCCCTTTACATTTTTTTTATATTATGGAAAATTTTAAGCAGATTTTTAAAAAGTGGAAATTATAATATAACTAATGCAAAATATGTGCTTACCTAGTTTCAACAGTTACCAATAAATTGTGTCCATCTTATTTCATCTTCACCCTCTACTCTCCCTCCCATTACACTCTCTTCCTTTTAGCATCAACTTTTCATTCAACCTACCATCCCAGTCATCAATTTTAATAAGTTCTTATCCTTAAAAGAAAGTACCTGACAAAAATCCCTCCCTTGAATCCATATCACACTTGAGCTATTATTGTGCTCTTTCCCTTAAATTGTGTCTTATTTCCTCTATATTTCAGCTTTCTAAGAAAGTCTAAATCCTTGTCTCTTAAGTGTAACTGCTCTTTCATTGATAACATTTTTGACACTGTTGACCATTTCCTCATGAAAACACCAATGCCTTGCCTTCCATAACATACCTTTTAACTGTGTTCTCTTTTGGATCATTCTTCATGTATCCTCCAGGCCAAAATCTCTTCTACCTACCCTGTATAAATGTGTGTTTTTCACAGTTCTGTCATCTAGGCATTCATTAAATCCATGATTTTATTTATCATCTATATTTAGATAGCTTCCAGATCTCTACTAAGACTCAGTTCCCTTACCTGAAAATCAGATCTGCCAATCTGATCACCCTAACTGATCTCCTTTGCCAACTTGATTGACCTAACTGCTTTCCCCTGCCAGCCTGATCGCCCCTAATGACCTCTGCCTCACCCCTGCCACCAAGGCTTGTCCAGAAGGATGTCCAGTCTAATTAGCATAGTACCCTTTTACTAGTATAGATATGAATAGCTATAAATGAGAAAGTTGGGTTCTGGATTTCATGAAGCTCATATTCAACTCGGAGAAAGCATACAACAAACAAACACAGTGACTTTTAAGTGTAAATAACTTGCTATAAGGAAAATAAAGCAAGACAATGTGTTGTGATGTGGCTGGGAGGTTACTTTAGGTTGAGTTACCAGAGAATACCTCTATAAAGAGGCAGACTTTGTGCTGAAATTTAAATGGGAAGGAACTAAGATACAAAGATCTGAAGGAGATTTCTAAGCAGAAGAGCCAAAAAGCAGAAAGACCTAAAATGGGCATAATCTGTATTAGAGGACCAGAAAAAAGTAAGATGCAGCTGGAACACAGTAAACCTAAAGAACAGTCTGAGTTGTCAGAACAATAGCCAGGGGCGAGATCATAAAGACCATCTACACCATGGTAAAGAGGCAAAGGAAGGATTTTAAGCAGTTGCTCATGTAGAATGGCTTCAAGTAAGAGATAATACAGGGATAATGTATTACTGCTATAGAAATCCAGAGGAGAGAGGAGTCCAAATACTCTATTTAGGGGAAAAACGAATTGCCTAGCATCTCCAGATCATTGTTTGGAACACAACAGTCATTAAATACTTATAAATGTATTTTATGCTATCCCAATCATGTTTAATACTATACTGCTTATTTTCTTATCTACATCACCTAATAAACCAAGCTGAATGAAGGCAGGAATTATATCAATACAATTCTGTCATCTTCTCCCAAGATTCTGTCCTCTTCTCCTAAAATTGAAGTTCAGTTTCTGAAGAAAAGCCAGTTAAAAATATTCCTATAGCCCAGCTGGCGTGGCTCAGTGTTTGAGCATCAACCTATGAACCAGGAGATCATGGTTTGATTACTGGTCAGGGTACATGCCAGGGCTGTGAGCTCAATTTCCAGTGGGGGGCATGCAGGAGAGCGCCAATCAATGATTCTCTCTCATCATTGATGTTTCTCTCTCTCCCTTCCTCTCTGAAATCAATAAAAATAAACAATATATTTCTAGAAATCCAGCAGGAATAAATAAACTAATGAAAACTGTCAGTGCGTCCCTGAGAAGCAGTGCTATTATTTGCAACTCTATTTTAATCAAGCAGTCTAAGAAGTACTATAAGATAAAAAGAAACAAAGGTATGTGGCAGTCCTAAGAGGCATTTGATTAATGTTCATCTTTACAAGTTGAACTGGAAGAAAAAGAAGAATTTTACAAGAGATTAACTAAGAGGACTAATGCTTCATTATAATATTAGGTGCCACAATTATATTAGTACATACAGATCATCTTTTTGCTCAGATTTTGGCAAAGTGATTATACAGTTTGAGCTAAAGTATCCCAAAATACCAAATATTAAGGAGCAGCTATTTGGAAACAAAGGCTCAAGACTTTTCCTCAGGTTAAAAAGAGGTCAGTAGAAAATATACTACATGGATGGAGGTTTTAAACATAGCTACCATATACCATAGACATATGTGTACCCCTTCTATAATTTTTGTAACGCTGAGTACCCCTTGTACTCATGAAAACGTAGAATTAGGTGCAGCTAAGCACGGTGCAGTGCATATCCCCACCAAACTCTGGTGCAACGCGTTCCCCCACCAAACTCTTCCCGTACGCTTACCACACTTTGGGAAACACTGCAGAAGAATAAAAACTAAAATTCACTTCAAAATATTACCAATAAGAGTCAACTCTTTACTGTTTTCAAGAAGATTATATGAATGAACTAGAGGCCCAGTGCATGAAATTCGTGCACGGGGGTGGCGGCTGGGGGGGGGGGGGAGGTGTCTCACAGCCCAGCCTGCACCCTCTCCAATCTGGGACTCCTCGAGGGATGTCCCATTGCCCATTTAGGCCCAATCCGGACATCCCCCTCATAATCCAGGACTGCTGGCTCCCAACTGCTCACCTGCCTGCCTTCCTGATTGCCCCTAACCGCTTCTGCCTGCCAGACTGATCACCCCCTAACCATTCCCATGCCAGCTTGACTGATGTCTAACTGCTCCCCTGCCGGCCCATTTGCCTCCAACTTCCCTCCTCTGCTGGCCTGGCCACCCCTAACTGCCCTCCTCTGCAGGTTTGATCTCCTTCAACTGCCCTCCCTTACTTGCCTGATCACCCACAACTGCCCTCCCTTGCAGGTCTGGACCTCCCAACTTCCCTCTCCTGCTAGCCATCTTGTGGTGAACATCTTGTGTCCACATAGAGGCAGGATCTTTGACCACATAGGGGCAGCCATATTATGTGTTGGAGGGGTGGTCAATCTGCATATTACTCTTTTATTAGATAGGATAGAGGCCTGGTGCACAGGTGGGAGCATGCTGATTTTCCCTGAAGGGTGTCCCAGATCAGGGTGAGGGTTCCCTTGAGGCGTGGGGTGGCCTGAGTGAGAGGCCTGTGGTGGTTTGCAGGCCGGCCACACCCCGCAGTGACCCTGGTATCTGGGATTTATTTACCTTCTACAATTGAAACTTTGTAGCCTAGAGCAGAGCCAAGACTTCTGCTCACTCCATGGTGGCAGCCATTTCTTGTTTACTTTCTATAATTGAAACTTTGTAGCCTGGAGTGGAGGCTTAGGTCTGCTAGGGCAGGCAGAAAGCTTGGCTTCTTCCATTGCCAATGAAACCCAAGCCTCTGTGGCCAAAGCCATCTTGGTTGGGGTTAATTTGCATATGCTCTCTGATTGGCTGGTGGGCATGGCTTGTGGAGGAAAGTAATGGTTAATTTGCATATTACTCTTTTATTAGGTAGGATAAGAGCATTTGTCATCTGTTAATGTTATTTCTGAGTGCCTCTGTATTTGAGTAACTTTTTTTCTAGATTCAATTCACTTTATTCATGTGAATGTTAACTTTTATCTGACATTAAGATGTAACTTATTTCTGAAAAGCTGTTAAAAAACTACTAATAAAATTTAGTGTTTTTATTTTCTGTTGCAATAAATCATCAGCAATAGTTTTTATTTCTAACTAGAGGCCTGGTGCATGAATTTGTGCACCAGTGGGGTTCCTTAGCCCGGCCTGCGGAATTGGGCCAAAACTAGTTCTCCGACATCCCTTGAGGTGTCTCGGATTGCGAGAGGGCAAAGGCCAGGCCAAGGACTCCCTCGCTTCCCCGTGCACAATTGAGGCCAGGGAGGGATGCAGGAGTGCTCCAGGGCATGTCTGCCAGTCTCGCTCAGTCCCAATTGGCCGGACCCCAAAAGCAAACTAATCTATCAGTTGGAACATCAGCTTCTTGGTAGTCAGTGCGCATCATAGCACCTGGTAGACCAATCAACCGCCTGGTGGTCACAGTGAGCAGTTGAGCAGCCTTAGCAAATTACGCTTTGATTAGCAAATTACACTTTGATTGGTTGAACAGCTGACCAGAGGACCAGACACTTAGCATATTAGGCTTTTATTATATAGGATTAGCTTGATACATTACTGTGCGGCATCAACATAGCCATGGGTAAACCTGAGGGGGGGTGGTGGTGAAGGATTAAAGAAGATAAGAGAATAAATCTTGGGCTGGGTGGGATGCCCTCTTAGAGAAACAGTGTCACAGTCTGCAAGTCGAGTCTTTATTTTATAACCAGATTCCACCAGGCAAAGTAAGGGTGTGGTCAAGATGTTTATAATGCCAGGACTGGTTTGGCACAGTGGATAGAGCGTTGGCCTGCAGACTGAAAGGTCCCGGGTTTGATTCCAGTCCAGGGCATGTACCTTGGTTGCGGGCATATCCCCAGTAGAGGGTGTGCAAGAGGCAGCTAATCAATGATTCTCTCTCATCGATATTTATAACTCTCTATCCCTCTCTCTTCCTCTCTGTGAAAAATCAATAAAATAAAATAAAAAAGATGTTTATAATGCTCTCATGGGTTTCCAATCTTACTCAATTACATGCACCTGAACTCTATATCAAGCCCACATAACTCAGCCTCCTGGGACCACAGGTTCAGACCATAAGGTCAAGCTTACAACTATAGCCTTTGACTATAATTGTGCTCGGACTTGCACTTGGCTTTACCACAAGAGGATTGTGTCCTCTCATTAGTCCAAGGCTTGAACCTGTCCAAACACTCTAGCCACTCTCCACACATTACCATACTGACAGAAATCACTGAGATAAAACTGAAATATATTGAAATAGTTACAAAAATACACAATGAAATCAATATTATTAATTTCTTTTTATGTGTGTTTTTGTTGTTGTTAATTCCCATATTTTTCCATTGATTTTTAGAGAGAGGAAGGGAAGAGGGAGAGAACGAGATAGAGACATTGATTAATTGCCTTCCACATGTGCTCTGACTAAGGTACATGCCCTTGACTAAAATTGAACCTTGGACCCTTCAGTCCCTGTTCTGATGCTCTATCTACAAAGTCAAACTGGCTGGGGCTACATTGTTAAATTGAATTAACACAGTTAAATATATATATATGTACATATAAAATAGTACAGAGGGAATAAAACTTACATCATCTCCAGCAATATAGAATGATAGAGTCTGGCTCCCAAGATTAAAATCAATCCAAAATTCCTGAAGTTTTTCATCTGATGGTATTTGCAGCTAATAAAATAAACATATAAAACTAATATAACCTATGCTATTAAAAGTGACAACAGAGAATTATGATCATGTAATTCATGGTTGAGTTTTTTAAAAATATATTTTATTGACGTTTTTGCAGAGTGGAAGGAAGGTAGAGAGTTAGAAACATTGATGAGAGTGAGAGTGAGAGAGAAATATTGATTAGCTGCCTCCTGCATGCCCCCTACTGGGTTGTGCCCTTAACCAAGGTACGTGTCCTTGATGGGAATCCAACCTGGGACCTTTCGTTCCGCAGGCTGACACTCTATTAACTAAGCCAAACCGGGTTTGAGCTGGGGTTTTTTTTGTTTGTTTTTTTAAGTGTATGCTGGAAGGTGAGGGAATAGAGGAGAGAAGTACTGCATTTAAATAAATTTAGAAAGAATAAAAAAATGCTGCTTAGTATTATATACAGAAATTAGCTAAGTTCAATCACAAATATTCCAAGTGCAAATAAAGGTTGAAGTATTAGTTTGAATATATTAATGAATTTTAAATTAATAATGAAATTAAGGAAACAGAAAAATATTTGAAATATAGCCTTTTGTATTTGATTTATCTACAGCTACAAATATGCTATGTTATAAAATGTCTCTTAGATATAGAATAGGCCAACTGTATTTTTTATCTAATTATGACTATGTTAAAGTTTTTGTCACTTTGTAATCTGTAATTCACTTGGCCCTTGCCTTGCATCAAAATTTATCCAATAACTAAAATACATGTTAATTTTAAACTTACCTCATATTTATCAAGAAATGCTGATAAACAAGGATATGTAAAGACCCTGAAATAAAAAGTTTTAAATAAAGAAAAAATAATAATTAGACTTTACAATAGTATAAGCTTGACTAGCATAGAAATCATGTCTAGTATCAAAGGAAATCAGGCAATAGTTAAAACAATTTAAATAAAATTATATCTCTTTTATTATTTTTAAAAAGAGCTTAATGGAAATTTATTTCTGTAGAGAAAGCATATTACTGAGGATTCTACTCAAACTACCATTTAGTCTGAAGTGACTGACTCTGAGCAGAGAGTCCCATCTTAGCTTGTACCATTAATAAAAGTTCCCACAGAACTTATATGGGAAAAGAAGATCAGTGAATGATCTATACTAATAAAAGGGTAATATTCTAATTAGACCGGGTTGACCGGACATCTTCTGGTTGTCCGGTTCTCCTTCTGGACAAAGCCACAGTGGTGGGGGCTGAGGCAAAGGCAGTTAGGGGTGATCAGGCCGGCAGTGGAGGGATATTAGGGGTGATCAGGCCATCAGAAGAGGGCGATTAGGGGCAATCAGGCTGGCAGGGGAGGGTGGTTAGGGGCGATCAGGCAAGCAGGGAAGGGTGGTTAGGTGTGATCAGGAAGGCAGGCAGGTGAGCAGTTAGGAGCCAGTGGTCCCAGATTGTGAGAGGGTGCAGGCTGGATTGAGTGACCATCCCCTCCCATGCATGGATTCCATGAATAGGGCCTCTAGTACTCCTAATAAAAATGGCTGAATTAAGTGAGTACTTCCTTGGTGAGATATAATTACAAATAGTCCCATATAATTATCTCCTTTAAACCTTACAACAAACATATTAAATATATATTATCAGTATTCTTATTTTACAGATAAAGAAACAGAGATGAGTAACCCAATGTTAGAACAGAAAGAGAAATTTATGATTCAAATCCATATAATATGACTCATTGCACTTACCCCTTACCCTACCTTTAATTTCCTTAGTAAATAAAGGAAATGTGAACTCAGCCACCCAGTGTGTCTGTGCACCTATAAGGTGCCAGGCACTGCAAATACTCTGCTCTTCTGTCATTATCAAAGTGATAAAAGTTTACATCACTCGGCCTCACATGCCTATTCCTGAAATTAAATAATCTGCATTAAATTTACCTTCTCTTGTCTCCAAGCATGCCATTTACAAGGTTGAGAAAAATCCTGCAATCCTATTTTTTTTGGGAAAAAAAAAGAGATTTTAAAAAAGCATAGTAAATTGACAAATCTCAGAGGGGGGGGAGAGATTAGCTAAAGAACTTATATGCATAGTCCATGGATACAGACAATAGTAGGGTGAAAGCCTGAGGTGGGGTAGAAACTGGGTAAGGAGGCAAAAGGAGAGAAATAGGGGTCATCTGTAATAATGTCAGTAATAAAAAGTATATCTTAAAAGCATAGTAATTTTCAAAAACTATTATTAATTTATTTTTATACTACTTACTGTTTCAAATTCAGAGTCTTTAATTCCTTTAAATGCATTAGCAATAAAATCCATTGAAAACCAATGACTTGCCAGTTTCTGTCTTTGTTTTTCTGTTGTCATTCTACATAAAGCCTCTACGATGCCTACTTGTAAGTCATAATCTTGAAAAAAAGTTAATGCATTATTTGAAATTATAAAAATTAAGAGTTTATAAATGTCAATATATTTTATAATGTATTACAATTAGCAAGATAAAGAAAACAGTGTGAATTACTAATCTATTACCATTTTCTTCATATGAATTAAAACTAGCTCCTCATTATAGGAATGAATATAGCCCAAATAACAAAATAAGCTTACTAACAAAAGTGAAAAAAGTTTCTAAAGGTTATTTAAGACACACTCCCAAATATTCAAAGACTATGTGTTCTATTATTATTAGAGCTGTGAACTGTAAAACAGCTCAGACAATGGCCTATAAATCACAGAATCTTTGTTTTCCTTTTGTGTTATATGTTATTTAAAGTTATTCCAAAGTACTTTGTTTATTCTATAGATAACTTTTGAAATCAAAAGTTTCTCATATGAAACTTAGGAAAGAAAATTTGAGGGTTTTTTTAATAAACACATTTTTTAAAAATAAATATATTAATCCCAGGAATATTTAACCTCCTAACTTCATAAAATACCATTTGAGGCACTTTTTAGCAAAAGTAATTAAAATCTATTGAAAAATTAAGTTATTATTCATAAATCTACAACTTGGGTACAAATTATATTTAACAACTCGTATTACCATGCTTAATTATTATTTCAGTCCCACAAATAATCACTTGTTAAAGTAATTAAAATTGATTTACTATAGTTTATAATCCCCTCACATAATCTCACTACATTACAATGTTTATATATTTTGGCTAAAACAATTCTTCCTATTATGTGTGTAATAACTTCAAATATAAACATTATTGAAAAAAAAAAACTTACCTCCTGCATCTAAAATCCTTTCTCCCATACTATTCCTACAAATCAAAATAATAGATTATATACCAAACTAGTATCAATTAAATAGAAAGCCCATATGCTGGGGGGAGGGACTTCACTAAAATTTACAATTGGCTAATATCACACTTTTACAGAAATGACATCCTTAAATTATAATAGAAACCTACAACAGTTTTATGCGTTTAAATTATTAATGCAATTCACAGTTGTCTTATAAAATATCCATTAAATTCTTGACTTGAATCACTAATTAAAGCAATATAGTAAAAATTATTACATGAGAATTAACACATCTTGGTTGTAGAGTATTTTCCTGGCATCTTGAGGCATTTTGTCAAGCATAGCATTCATTTTTTTTAGAGTCTAAGAAAGAAAAGAAAAAGATAAGCCATCAATATTTTATATTCAGTGAAACATTACAGTTTTAGAAAAATATTCTAGGTATATACATTTAGAAGCTTATTTTTTTATCATAACATTTTATGCAGGGAATGGAGAAGGGGAAAGATTATCCTATATAATGAAAGGCTAATATGCAAATCGACTGTACAACAGAATGACCGGTCACTATGACATTCACTGATCACTAGGGTACAGACACTCAATGCAGGAGTGGCCCCATGGTGATCAGTGCACTCCCACAGGGGGAGTGCCACACAGCCAGAAGCCCTGAACTAGGCTCACAGCTGGAGAGTGCAGTGGCTCCAAGGCAGCATTAAGGATGTCCAACTGTCAGCTTAGGCCTGCTCATGAGGGCCTAAGTTGGCAGTCAAACCTCCCCTAAGGGCTCCCTGACTGAGAGAGGGCACAGCCAGGGCGAGGGACACCCCCAAGTGCACAAATTTCATGCACTGGGCCTCCAGTAAAGTATAAAATAGTGAATACAAAAAAACACATAGAATATAATAAAAAATAATATACCATGATTTCTGTACTTAAAATAGTTATACTCTTTGCAATACAACATACGTTTAATATAACTTTAAGAACTAGGAAGGCAAAAATATTATTTTATTAATATTTATTCTTATGGTTATACAATACAAATGTACATACATCTACACACTATTAAGGTTATTTTTAGTATTTAATACTTAATAAATTGTATTAAATTAGTATTTAGTATTTAATAAATACTTAATAAATTAGTATTTAGTATTTAATACTTAAGAACTCCTAATATCTAGATGGTATCATTTATTTTCATATAAATATATGTATACATAAGCCAATATGTTCATACATTTTCAATAAATAGTAACATATTCATCATGTCAGGCAGTGAATTAAGTCAATAGATATATACTACATGATAAATAATTTAGTGCCAAGATAAAATTATTTAATTTAATAAATTGCTACCAAGTTTTCTTCTTTCTCATTTTTAGGTTTCAAAAAAAAAATCTAACAAATGACTTTACCTCCTGCTGAATACAAATATTCACTCTTGAGTCAATAATCAGGGCACAAATTCGAGGTATGAAATTTTCCACTACTTGCTTTTTACCTGAATAAAAGTGTTAAGTTATTGATAAATGTGTATTTTAAATGCTTTTAAAAGACAGTCTTTACTTATATGAGTTAATGTAAAAGAAGTACTAGTTCAGTTTAGAAGGTCGACTTGACAGTGCTGGGTATTAGGAAGCATACAATTCAGTCCTGGTTCTGCTATGAACTAGCTCTGTGGCTTTGGGAAAAAATACACATAAAACCAACATATGTGACTGAATCCTGGCAAAGGAATCCAAATCCAGCTTTTTTTTTCAGGCACAAAAGGCTGAAATTCAGGATGAAATAAATATCATTTGAAAGGGTACACTTCTATATTGAGCTTTTTAGAAAACTGACCTCATTAATACTAATACTCAAAAATTCCATAATAACCATCAATACTTCTGAGCTATTCCTAAAAGCCAACCCTATTTTCAAAAGGCGAGGCTTTATCAATACTAAATATATTTAAAGAAATTTTCCACATGCCATTTCATAATGCAAATATTAACAATAATTTTTAAAAATGCCAATACTGTAACAAAACATTCCAAAGTAACAACATTGGGGGGGGGGGGAATCACTCAATTAGGGGAAAAGATATAATAATTTACTTAAAAAAAAAAAACGCTGTTAGATCACTTTATAATCAACAGTGGTTTAAGACTGTTTTCTCCCCTAAAAACGTAAGAATTCAAGCTAGACCGCAAAGAAATAATTTTTAAAAAGTAGTAGCTACTATTAAATAAACAGTAATTGATTTTTTAGAAGGTACATGGCTATATTTTAGAGAAAATTGCTTAGTAAGGCTACTTCAAAGAGCGTTTTGAGGCTAAGAGCTAAATAAATTCAAGAGTGAGCCATGAGAGTATCTGAGGTAGATTATTCCAATGTGAGGAGATGGCAAGCGCTAGCACTGAGAGCAAATTAACAGTGATCAATGGGGCACTGTTTCCAAATGCGGTCAGAGAGGTTGGATCTCAAAGACATAGTAAACAATTTTGATATCTAGACAACCACATTTAGCTAATGATCAATGGCCTAAAATTTTATATCTATGTAATTCTCAACTATCATATATGATTTCCTTTGTATAGTAGTTCAACTAAAAGTACATATGGTCTTTCAAAGACATTTTTAAAAAATGTTTAAAACATGAGGGACAAGTTAAAACTTTTCCAAAATGTAAACTTATTTTGAGACGGTGACTACATAAAAAGCAAATCTATTAGTTTTCCCACCTTATAGGGAAAACTCCATTAATTTTTATTAAATTACAGCTAACAAAATAGCAACTGATCTTTAACATTTTGGCTGCGATGGCAGCAAATAGCAGCCGTTCCATTACATATAAATAATTCATCAACCTCAGTTACCAATCCTAGTTAATTCTTTCTCAAGCAACATAGATAACTTGGACTGACTGCTTTTCACAAGACACCTGCTAGCCATAAGTGAAAGGAGGAGTTTTCAGTGAACTATTAAAAATTTTGTTCCATTAGCTCAAAGGTTGGCAAACTATGGCCCATGAACCAAATTCAACCCACTGCTGATGAATAATACATTTCATCAACAAGTATTCTGGAAATGTTTGAATCTATCATGTTTTATTGAACTAGTAGCATCAAGGTGAATTTCATTTACTTTCATGAACTTAGCCATCATCATCAGTTACCAGTGAATGATTTCTTACGCTATAGAGTCGATAATGTTTCTAAGTGACTTCAACCCAAAATTACAAGGCAAAATTGTGTTATATAAGAAACTTATACTTCAGTAAATTCACTTTAATGACACTAAATAAATTTATTTGTATTATAAATAATGCCAAGCTTCTTTCTGTACTTCCCGGGTTGTCAAAAACTAAAACAAGAATTATCGTCTCCATTCCCACACATATTTATAGGGGATATTTTTTTTCAAGTTCCAACTACAGGTCCAGAGCACTTTTGGACATCGATGTAAGTGCAAGGGGAAGTTTCCATTGTCAAATTCTATTATGCAGTTGAGGAGCTTCTACCTAACCTTCAATTAAAAGTGATTAATCTGCAAGTCAACGACATTTTAAAAGACAAATATTAAGAAAATAACTTAATCCAATTCTATAAATACTTTCTAAGTGATGAATATGCTCAATTAAAAATCATGCTTATAAACATATAGCAGTATTTGTCATTACTGACATGAAAAGATTTTTTAATGCAATATATATAAGCATCAATAAATTAATATAATCAATTTTGACTAGAGCAAAAATTAACTCTGAACCTGAATAAGTGATCCCCTCAAAAAAGAGTGCTATTCTTCACATTAGTATACCTATATTACAAAAACATCGTACTCAATTATTGTGTTTTGAATTGCATCAATAAAACATTTGTGAAGATTTGTTTCTTTCTTGATATAGTACTTACATATTATCCTCAATTTTTTTTTCTGGCCCACAATACCTAAAATATTTACTATCTGGCCTTTTACATAAAAAGTTTGTTGATCCCTGAATTAGATAATGAATTCCTAATATTGAGAAAATTGCTATAAGAATTGCAAAATTATACTAAAACTCTAACTGCAAATTACTGTTACATAAAAAAATGTTTATTATACCTTCATCATTGATGCCATATATGACCTGAAAAGGAATAATATTTATATTTTACTATCTTATATTATAAACCATTACAAATGGTATTAAAATAACAGGTTTAATTTAAACTCACCACATAAGTACTAATTATTTAATTACATTACACAGGATAAATGCTTTACAATCTGAATAGGTTAATCCAATCAAATCAGAAGTCAATCTGTTACTGACTTTTAGGCTTAAGATGTATAGAACACAAATTGTTTTTAAATAAAGTGCTCTCTTAGGCAGTATACTAAATAAGCACAAGCTTTAAAACATCAGTTAATTAATGTGATTTTACCATCAAAAGATCAAATAAGTCTTCTATTAGATTTATAGTAGCTTCATCTTTTGAATTTCCTCGACTCAAAATTATCTCCTTGGATTTTTCAAACCAGGCAACCATGTAAAGAAAAATGTATATACTAGTTATTTTAAATTCAATTTGAGAATGTACTTATCTATATTTGCATAAATAGTAAACCTAGGAATAAAGAAACACCAAAAAAATTCAGTATTATATTAAAATAAATTTATGTTTTCAAACATTGTCATTGTTTTTTTTTTGGTAACTCACTATTTGCCCATTGTTTAAATGGGAATTAATAAAGTGAATACTAATTTCAGGTAGAAGATCTTTATTTCCCCCTTCAAATTCCTTGTCCAGGTACATTCATATAATAGATGAAAATAAGTGGTCACAATTTAGATTATTTTAGCATTATTACTATTTGATAATTTTTGGTATTTTTCAATTTTAATTCATTCAAATCCTAATATATAAAAAGCAAGAGCTGTCACAACCCAATGACCAGATGAACAACTGAACAGCAGGCTGTGTGGGGTGATCAGGCCGTCAGGAGAGTTAGTGAGGGATGACCAAATGACTGAACAGCAGGCTGCATGGGGCGACCAGGCTGGCAGAAGGAGATAGTTGGGGCAATCAAGCCGGTAGCAGGTGGGGGGGGGGGGGGAGGTGGAGAGGGGAAGGGGGCAGTAAGGGGCAACAAGGCTGGCGGGGGGCAGTTAGGGGTGATCAGGCTGGTAGGGGGGGCAGTTAGGGGCGATCATGCCAGCAGGCAGAGGTGGTTAAGGGTGATCAGGCTGGCAGAGGGGGGCAATTAGAAGAGATTAGGCAGGCAGGCAGGTGAGCAGTTAGGAGTCAGCAGTCCTGGATTTTGACAGAGATATCCGACTGCTAGTTTAGACCTGATCCCTGGGATTGGGCCTAAACTGGCAGTCAGACATCCCCTCAAGGGGTCCCAGATTGGAGAGGGTGCAGGCTAGGCTGAGGTGACTTCTCCCCCCCACCCCCCGCCCATGCACGAATTTCATGCACCGGCCTCTAGTATTTGAATATAGACTAAATCTCAGATACTGTTCAGGGCACAGCAATGGACAAAACAAACAAAAATTAATACTATACATTCTAGTATGGCAGACAGACAATAAATATTAAAAAAATAATAAAGTCAGATAGTAATTAAGGTGTGCTAAAGAGAAAATAAATGAAATAAAGTCTCTAGAAAGTGTTGTGACCTTAAATTCACATGGTTATCAAGGAGCCTAAGAATAGTTTCCTTGTGATATACTAAGGTTATAAAAATATTTATTTTAACTCAAAGTTTTATACAAAGTACCCAAATTTATTTTTCAGTGGTTTGAAGCATTTATTTTATTAGAAAGCACACCTTTAATAATATTTCCCTCATATGAATGTTGCATAGTTTATACTTATCTTTTGGACTAATCCTTGTTTAATCAAAGTTAGAAGTCCAGCTTGCCCCAAAATACTGATGTTCCTGCTACATCTTCCAAAAGAAATCAAAATGATTGATACAGTTTGGATATCCTTCTTATTAAGTTCCTGAAATGAAAATTATACATTTAAACATCTGTTAACACAAAATAGCATGGAACTGGCTAAGGACTTTATAATCCTCACAAATCCTGAAAGCTATAATCATAATCTTCAAGGACAAAGGACAAAATGTGGTTAAAAAAAATAATAAACTTGCCTTAAGCCAGTAAATCACAAACTCAGTACAAAAATGCAGATCTAGCAGTTGGTTGGCATATCATTCCATGCTCCAAAAGGTGGGGGTTCGATTCCTGATCAGGGCACATACCTAGTGAGTGCAGTTTTAAACCCTAGTTGGCACACATATGGGAGGCAACCAATTGAGGTTTCTCTTTCTTTCTTGATCCCTCTCATCAATAAAAAATCATATTCTCAAGTGAGGATAAAATCATGCAGATCTGTATAAATGCAAAAAACTTTAGACTATGATAGGAAGTTACTTCCCATTCTAAAAAGCTCTAGGCATCTAACAAATACAATGAATTTTTATGTAATCTTTTTGAGTCATAACAAATCTCAAATACTGGGAAAGATTGTCAATAAACACATTTTCTTGCATATAAACCTGTCTTACATATAATAAATCAAGTCCAAGGTTTTGGATATATATTTTTATATTTGCAAGCAACAAACTTTGTCCATATAACATGCAGAATATGTTAAGGGCTTTTAAAAAAGAGATTAAATTGTTTTAACTTCCCAGATGTATACTATTTTTAACCAGTGGAAATTTTGTAAACATATCTATTTGAATACATTAGAAAATGGTCCAATATATTATTTGAAGCTTGTCAAATAAAAAAAGAGAAGCAAATGGTAAAATAAGGATTTATTTATATAATTATAAGCAAGCTTGCCAAAGTTTTTTTTATTCATTTTTTCTAATTTACTTTCCTGGAAAGTAGACTGCTATCTAATAATGATAACAATCATTCAACAAAAATAAACATATTTACCCTGCATATAAGATCATCCAACTTATGGAAAAACTGTTTGCTGCATTTAATCTTCACATCTTCAGAAACATCAATTTGTAAAAGTGTTTTCAAAGGTTTGAAATCATTTTTTCTTAAAGCATCATCAATGCATTTTTCCAACTGCTAGAGAAATATAGTTAATGGCACATATATTGAATCAAAACCAAAATTATTCACCTTATGCAATCTAGCAATTTGAGAATGGTTTTCACATGAAAATTCTCAGAATTTACACAATATCAATGCACACTTTTTTTTAAAAAAACTGCCCACTCTTAAATTTGGAGTAATGTAGTCAGATTAAGTTTCCTTGATAAGATTCTATTGAATATATAAGAAAAAATATATTTTTACTATTTTTGCACTTCATGTCTTAAATTGGAAAGTCATCATTATGTTGAATTCAACAAAAGCCTGCTAATGAAAGAAGTAAAATAAACTTATGATAATCAGTAATAACATGGATAAAATTTAAATATATCTGACTATCAACTTCTTAATGAGATTTAAATGTATAAAACTGCATGAAGAGCCGGGACCGGTTTGGCTCAGTGGATAGAGCGTCGGCCTGCGGACTGAAAGGTCCCAGGTTTGATTCCAGTCAAGGGCATGTACCATGGCTGTGGACACATCCCCAGTAGAGGGTGTGCAAGAGGCAGCTGATGGATGATTCTCTCTCATCGATGTTTCTAACTCTCTATCCCTCTCTCTTCCTCTCTGTGAAAAATCAATAAAAAATATAAAACTGCATGAAGATTAAAAGCACTGTTTAGAAACTATACCAACCAATGAGTTAAGCATCTCACACACACACAAACACACACACACACACACACACACACAATTTAGTGTATTAACATATTTATAGTCATGTGCCACATAATGAGGTTTGGGTCAACAACAGGCCATGGATATATAATGCTGATCCCACAAGATTATAATGGAAATAAAATGCTCCTACTGCCCAGTGATATCATAGCCACTGTAACTTTGTATCACAACACATTACTCACATATTTATGTGAACAAACATACTGAAGTAGCAATCATAGAAAAACACAGCACATACAATTATGTACAGTACATAGTATTTGATGATAAATGACTATGTTACTAGTTTATATATATTTAATATACTATACTTTTAGTATACTAAAGTAATACTATATTACTTATAGATGTCTGCTATAAAACAGTATGCCATTAGGCCTGCAAGCAGCCTCATACATCTCATGTTTATTACATTTCCTGATTGCATAATTTTCTCTTATGTTTGATTTAATCTCATGTTGTTTTATAAATTTAGTTTAGTCTAAGTGTACAGTGTTTATAAAGTCTGCATTAGTGTACAGTAATGTCCTAGGCCTTCACAATCCCTCACTACTTACTCATCAACTCACTCAGAGCAACTTCAATTCCTGCAAGCTCCATTCATAGTACTGTTTCCCCCAAAATAAGACAGTGTCTTATATTAATTTTTTCTCCCAAAGTTGCGCTAGGTCTTATTTTCAGGGGATGTCTTATCTTTCCATGTGCTAGATCTTATTTTCAGAGGATGTCTTATTTTGGGGGAAACACGGGTAAGTGCCTTATAGAGCTGTACCATTTTCCATCTTTTATATTATATTTTTACTGTACCTTTTTTAGTACTGTACACAAATACCATTCTGTTATAACTACCTAAATATTCAGTACAGTAAAAAGCAACACAGGTTTGCAGCCTAGAAGCAACAGGCTATATATCATATAGCCTACATGTATAGTAAGCTAGACCACCTAGGTTTGTGTACATGCACTATGGTGTTCACACAATGACAGGATTGCCTAATGACACATTTCTCAGAAAGCATCCCCATCATTAAGTAGCGCATAACTGTATAACCTTTATAAAATCTGTCATCTCTAGTATTAATGTAAACATCATCAATAAGTAATTTTCATAGTACAATCTGATCATCAGGCTTTGGAGTGAACCACATAGCAATTAAATAGATAAAACTTACTCTTTACCTAAATGAAGTATCTTACAATTTTAAACTTTGATATGATAATATTCAGGCATAAATTTTATACATGAATCAATGCATGATTCTTTTCAATATTAAAGATATATATATATATATACATACACACATAAATAATTAGCATCTATACTTTAAATATTTTTAAATATTGACAACAAATCTATTAAAAATAAAAATATATCTGAATTTAAATTATTCTCCTCTTGACTTCTTCATAAAAACAAGAAAGCTTGTCTTCCTTAAAAAATATAGCACTTAATACCTATGAACAAACAGTGATTTTAGAGACTAAAATAAAATACTTGCTTCTGGTCCAGGACTACATACCTGGAGATCTGGTCTTACTGGCATTTTGATTTAATTTTAAAATGGCAGGTCAAAACAAACACCTATAAAAGAAAACATACACTCTCTGTATCTTACATCTGTTCTATATATTTAAAATCTTAATACACATAAATAAGCATTGCTGCTTTACCAAAGGCAATACATACTGTTTTTTCAACTTCCTCGCTGTTTATGAAATTACTCATTTTAATTTAGCTAAAAAAGTTTTTGGAGAAAATCCTGAATAGTATTTATTCAAGCTTTTGCTGTTTATGAATTACAGAAACAAACAAACAAACAAACTGCTAAAAGGTCACAAAACTAGTGAAAGAAAAACCGGGATGTCTCATCCTAGAGTCTTGCTATATTTGTTCCAATTTGGGGAACAAGAAGAAAAATAACCTTGAATTAATGTCTAAATGATATTCAGACTTGTAATACAAAGATTAAAAAGGGAGGAATGTGGGAATATATTACCAAAGAACAGGCTATATGAGAAAACACAAAAATACAATCAGAAGAGTAAGGAAAAGATAAACTAAACACATTTTCTCTTAAAAAGAGAATGGAAACAAGAAACAATGGGGTTAAATTAAGCACCATCTACCACCTTAACAAAAGTATCTAAAATTTCCAAATGCAATTTGGAGGTTAGCTCTCTAAAAGAACTACAACAATCTTTTCTAGATATCACAACTAGAACAATTTAAAATTAATCTACTATGTAACAGAAACACTAGGACATCCAACATAGAGAGGCAATTAATTCATTAATCCAACAGGAATAGAAGACTGTAAACCCATAAGACAACAAGAGGCATTAATCCACTTTCTTGCAGATATGGCAATAGAGAAATATAAGTGTCTATGAGGATATACATATAAGGCAAACAAAAAGGATGAGTAAAAATAATCTCTTACATTTCCAAAGATTAACTACAGGGAAAAAGTTCTGATCCCCGAAGAAATACTTGCTCTACATACGTAAGAAACTAGGCCTAAAGATGTTTTTGCAGTATTGTTTTGAGTAGCAATGATTCAAAAGCACCTAGATGGAATTTGGAAATGAGAACGAAGAAATAAATAGATACAATGTGGTAATTAATTTTGTGAACATAATCCTATCTAATAAAAGGGTAATATGCAAATTGACCATCACTCCAACACACAAGATGGCTGCCACAAGATGGCCAGCAGGAGAGGGCAGTTGGGAGGGACCAGGCCTGCAAGGGAGGGCAGTTGGGGGTGATCAAGCATGCCGGAGAGGGCAGTTAGGGGTGAACAGGCCGGCAAAGGAAGGAAGTTGGGGGCGACTGGGCCTGTCAGGAAGAAAAGTTGGGAGGCACCCAGGCCTGCAGGGGAGAGCAGTTGGGGGAGACCAGGCCTGGAGAGGAGGGAAGTTAGGAGTGACCAGGCTTGCAGGGGAGGGCAGTTAGGGGCAAACAAGCTGGCAGGGGAGCAGTTAGGCATAATCAGGCTGGCAGGGAAGTGATTAGGAGGTGATAAGGCTGGCAGGCAGAAGCAGTTAGGGGCAATTAGGAAGGCAGGCAGGTGAGCAGTTGGGAGCCAGCAGTCCTGGATTGTGAGAGGGATGTTCCACTGCCCATTTTGGCCCAATCCTACCAGGATCGGAGAGTATGCAGGCTGGGCTGAGGGACCCCTCCCCCGCATGCACAAATTTTGTGTACCAGGCCTCTAGTAGTCAAATATAATAAAAAGGCCCAGAATTTTAGATATTTGTATGAAATATGATGCTAAATGATACAGTGAAAACAGAAACTTTGTGTCATTTATATGTTTAGGTATATGCATGTACATGTGTGTAGACAGACAGACATTCACCTATACCACTCAAGACAATGCTTATCAGGCACACTGGAGAGGAGCAGTAAGGAGTTTTACAGAACTGTAATTGGCTATTTGTCAAAGTAAGACTTTAATTTTATTTGTAATTTATATTTATATTAGAGGCCTGATGCATGAATTCGTGCAGGACAGAGGGGAGGGACCACAGGAGGTTGGCTGGCAGGCCCCAATCTAGTTGTGTACCAGTAGATGTGCTGAGATAGAAACAAGAAAAGACCACAGAGTGCCTCAAAATGGCCTGAACACCAGCTATGCTCTATTTCACTGTTCGTCATCAGGCATCTCTCTCTCCCCATCTCTCTCTCCCCGGGGTGGAGTTGCTGTCAGGTTGCCTCTCCTAACTCAGCTTCACATTTTCTCAGGGCTCCACCCCCAAGCATGATAGGTAGCTGACTTTGGCCAATGGTGGCACACCATCATAGGAGGAAGCCCAGAAAAGTACGGGGAGAAGCTAAAAGTGGCTGATGGGGGCAGAAGGGTGACCAGCACAGTGTAAGATGGCAGTGGTACTTATTTTACATCTTTGCCCCTTCTGCCCCCTCTGAACTGCTACTCTGTTTTGATCAGCATTGGGTTTGTTTTCCTCCTACAGGCTTCCTGGACCCAGATTCTCTGGTGCCTGGAATCTTAGCCTTAGGGAGGGACCAGTCAGGGGAAGGGACTGCGGGAAGTTGGCTGTGGGAGCACACTGACCATCAAGCTGGCCAGGGCGAGGGATCACAGGAGGTTGACCAGCCATGGAAGGTCAGCCATGGGAGTGTACTGACCACCAGGGAGCAGCTCCTGCTTTGAGCAGCTTCCCCCTAGTGGTCAGTGCACATCATAGTGACCGGTCGTTCCTGTTGTTTGGACGTAACAGCTGCTTAGGCTTTTATATATATAGACTAGTTAACTAGAGGCCCAGTGAATGACATTCATGCACCGAAGGTGTGGGGGGTGTCCTTCAGCCCAGCCTGTTTCCTCTGGCAGCCAGGACCCCTCAGCGGACATCCCTCTTGCAGTCTGGGACCCCTTGCTCCTTACCGCCCGTCTGCTCACTGCTCCTTACCTCTCCTTGCTCACTCCTCATTACTGCTAGGCTCACTGCTCCTTAGCACTGCTGTGAAGTAGCAGCTGTGAGCCTGGCTTCTGGCTGAGCGGCTCTCCCTCTGTGGGAGCGCACTGACCACCAGGAAGCAGCTCCTGCATTGAGCATCTGCCCCTTGGTGGTCAGTGCACATCATAGCAACTGGCCGTTCTGCTGTAATGGTTGCTTAGGCTTTTATTATATAGACTAGAGGCCCACTGCACGAAGGGATTCGTGCAATAGGCTTTCCTTCCCTTGGCTTCCAGCACCAATTTTCCTTCGGCACTCAGAACCCAGGTCTTTGCTCCGGCCAGAGTCTGCCTTCTTCTTTCCTCCAGCACCCAGGACACAAAGTCTTTGCTTCAGGTTCTGGCCAGAGTCTGCTGACTTCTTTTTAATTGCAAACTCCAGCTGGAGTCTGCCATCTCCATCTTTGCTGCTTCGCTGAAGACTCCAGCTGGAGTCTGCTGTCTTCGTCTTTGCTACAGACCCCTGATGTTGTCTGCCATCTTCGTCTTCGCTGCAGACTTCAACTTTGCTGCATTGGAATGCTGTTCCTGTAGATCCCTTCACCCCCCGCCCTCCCTCTCATAGCAGGCATCCTGCCCCGCCAGGCCACTCCGCACCTGGAGCAGCTGCGCAGCCGCCATCTTTGGCCTTCTAATTTGCTTATTCCCTCCTGATTGGCTGGTAGGCATAGTGGAGTGATGGTCAATTTTCATGTTTCTCTTTTATTAGTGTAGATACCTTACTAAAAGTACAGTAAATTCTTGACAAAATGCAGGTAAATGACATCCAAAACATGGGATCAGTAAATTGTAGCTTTGAGTTATTGTGAGGGAACTGAAATGACCAAAGCTATCCTTTGCAGTTAACATGTAGGAGTCCAGCTACTCCATCCAAATCTACCCAGGACTAACTGTGGCTTTGCTCCATTTGGTTGTTTATTTACTCTGGTTTAACTATAAAAAGGGGCTAATCTAGGTTTGTGGTAGCTGATTCCACACCAACAAGGATTCCAGGACCTCTACACAGTCAGAATCATTGTATCCCACTCAGAGAGATTTGACCTGGAAAATATTAAAAATGCAGGAAGATACTCTTTGCCTTCCCAATTCCTAAGAAGAAGTTTGCCTATTTTCTACTTAGTTTCACTCTTTCATTTTTTTCCAGGCCATCACAGAAGATAAAAATTTAGCCTGGTACTGTTTGAAAATATTATTTTCACAGATTACAAAATTTTAGCTTAAAATGTGCATGTGCATTTATATAGGCACACACGCACGCAAATATATGTATAAACTTGCTTCACGGATACAATGGTTTTTAAAAGATAGGAAAGTATTTAAAATATGGAGATAAATAAGTATTTGAGGTCAGCAACCAATATCATCATAGGCCTGAAAGCTCAGAGGGATGGTTGTCTTCAGGAGAAAACATTCCTTGGGACAGAAAAACCAGGTTTGAGGACATGATCCAAAATATCACAAAGAATATACAGAAGATAAAAAAATTGGGATATAAAGGAGAAATGCAGACAATACCTATTCAATTAGAATTTCAGAAATTAAAAAAATAAAATAAAAATAGCACAGGATGACAACAGTTGAATAATAGCCAAGAAATTTCACAAAGTAAGTATAAACACCCACGAATTGAAAGAATCCACTGAATTCCAAAGAAGATAAATAGAAAAAGTACACCTAGACATACTGTGTGGATATCTATCTATCTAAAAAGGTAATATACAAATTGTTGTTACTTTGTCACAGTAATGACCATTCAACAGGCTGCACGAGGCAGGAGCTGGTGGGCAGGGAGGGAAGGAGGCAGGGCCTTGCACCAGGACCAAAGTGACCAAAGCTATCCTTCTGGTCCTCAGCCTAACATTTCAGTGTCAGAACCTAACACCTCCCTAACCCTGTCCCCTCCAATCTAACATTTAAGAGGAGCCATTGCCAACCACATCTGGTCCAGCACCCCTCTTCCCTCTCTAGGCCCCAACTTCCTTCATGGAAGCTGCTATTGCTTCCCATGAATTCAAATGAAATAGGAATACTCAAAGAAGAAAATACCTGAGCAAAGACCTTGA